ATAACCACTAATTAACATGTGTCAAAAATAACAGAATGTAAGACTGTAAATATTTTATATTAAATCTTTCTTATATTACATAGTTATTTGATAAATTATATTAACATTACTGAAACAATTTATCAAACACGTAAATTTACTTTTACGTATTTTTTTAATTGTACACTATCCATTCAACATAGAAGTCAAATTATTAAGGGTCATAGACCCTACATTTCATGGTTTTCAGTTTTAAGTTTTAAAATTTTAACAAAGTATAAACTAATAAATTATAAATAAGGTATACCGAATGAGAATGTATAATTGTCTCGCAATACTTATGATTAACTAATTTAATGATGAATATTATTAAATGAAAACAAAGGGCTCTTAAGTGGTACAAGTAAAAGTATCATGAAAACTAATATGACAGACATAATTATACCATATTAATCACCATAAAATTTATAATTTACTGGGATTGTTAAATTTCTAAAATTAATAGTAACGCAAAATTCTATTAGCATTAATTATAAAATCCTCAGTGTAATACATGTTAATCTAGCATATATCTAGCATAAATCTAAAACATCTAACACAAACAAAAGTATCTTCTTAAATGACTATGCGATTGATATTTAAGAACAACAATATTATTCACACATACTAAAACAGAATATATTAAAACAATTCTTAAAAGAATCTAAAAAGATTTAATTAAATTTTATCAAATTATTACAGGAAAAATGATAGAAAAGCAAGTTTTGTCGATCGGCCCACATCATTCACATATCTTTAATAGTTCTAAGTCTTTTCACATCGTGGTGTATAGAAATAATGTTTAGTAATTACTTTCTAGGTATTCTAGAAGGTATTTCTAGGTATCTTATGCACAGCATATTAATATTGTAAGTCATAGTATTCTCTCAGATTAGTTTTTCTAGATTTAACTACTATAGCGAGCATCATTCATCTAAAGTTCATACAAATATACTTCTAAAGACCTTTCCTTTTAAAACAACAAAGTAGTACCAACTGATCGCAACAGTCTTGTCCCTTTATATTGCAACCAAATAACAAGTTACATGCAATTTTAAATCGGAAATAATAGTCCGTTGGGAAAGAAAAAAGAATTTCGAATAACTTCAGAGGGTAGGATAGTTAATGAATAATGCTTAAATCTCATCTTCACATCAACTAACTTTATTAACATTAATATAATAATTTAAGAGCGAGGTAATTGGTCATTTAAATAAAAATAATCAAAACTTTAGTTTATTATATATATTTTAAACAAATTATTTTATTAAAATATTTTCCGATATTTCGACTATCTTCGATAGCCATCTTCAGGGAAACTCGCTTCCTTCATTTTTAGTTTCCCTGAAAATGATTATCAAAGATCGTCGAAATTTTGGAAAATATCTTAATGAAATAATTTGTTTTAAATATAAGTAATAAATTATAGTTTTTTATTTTTCTTTAAATGACAAACAATCACAAAAAAAAAAATAAAATAACTTTATTAATTTTAAAACTTAAAACTTATTAACTTTATCTTAACTTTATTAAGATAACTTTATTATAAAAAATTTTAGTTATTTATTATACATAAAATTGATTTTTTACTACATATAATACTTAATTGAAAATTTCTTCTAATCTTAATTTCTTATCTTGTCTCTAACGGATTTGTACTTCCCACATCGCATTTATAGTTATAAGATTTACAAGCTGGTACTGCTGATTAAATATTTACATAAAAATAATATGAAATAGAAATATCTGAAATACAAACAGAAGGTGAATGAATTAATCATCGTAAAACGAAAATACTTTGCAAAGATAAAAATATGTAAATAAAAAAAAATTCTATATATATTATAAAAATTAGCAAGATTTTTTAATTAAGAAACTCACGCTACATTCTATCAACACGAATAGTTTGAATCTCGAATGAAATAAGAATAAATTGCAACAATGAAATTAAATTATAAAATTATTTCGAATTTAAACATTTTAAAATGCAATATAAATAACATATGATTGCAAAATAAGTATCTAATATGATTTTGTGTGTTATGTCCTTCGCACTTCTACTTTTAGGGTGTTTCTTCAGAACACCAGAAGATTGCACACAAATGAACTTTGATGCCTAAGATTGCCTCTACAACACTAATACACGGTAATCCAGTTTGTGGTTTCAACAGTAAACTTAAGCAAAATAAACTTTTGATAGAATTTTTGATCAAATTTTTATTTCAGTTCATTGTTTGGACCTTACCATTAAATATAAAATACAAAACATTATTCAAATGTTCTCCACTTAACATCCTGTCGAGGATTTCTACGACTGTCGAGACAACTATACTACGGCCATAACCTGGTTATTTGTTTTGCATCCATTTTGATAAACTTAAGTAGTCCCTAGGGGAAACGCATCAGTGGGAACTGGTAGAAGTCTTAATATTTTAGCTTCTCCCAGTATATAAGAAACTCATACGAAAGCGGACATACGATGTCTTGTCATTATATTTATTAATTAAATTTTTTCATTTATATAATTTTAGTTTTGATTAATTTATTTTTATATTATTTTTGTTTTTTAATTATATTAATATTCATTTTTAGTTATATTAATATCATTCTTAGTTATTTTTCTTCTTTTATATAATATAAAAATTAATATTTCCATTTTTTATCATTTTTATATTTTTTTTTATATTTCCATTTTATTTATATATTTTATTATATTTAATTTTATAAGTATTTAATTGTATATTTTTATTATCATTTAATTAGTATTTAGTTATATTTTTATTATCACTTAATTATTATTTGTTGTGTTTTTATTATCATTTAATTATTATTTAATTATATTTTATATTATATGTGTTATTATATATATATTTATATAATAATTTATTTTCTTTTTATTATTCAATTTATTCAATGATTTAATTATTATTTAATTATATCCATATATTATATGCATTATTATATGTATGTTATTATATATTCAAATGTTTATGTTCTTTTTATTATTCAATTATGTATATATGTTTTATACATTCATACATTGATATTTTTCAATTTACATTTGGGGGTAAGATATCTCATCACATAGATTATAATCTATAGGGCTAAGTATACACCTGTTTTCTGGCGTATCTTTGGTGATTGTCTTCACCGTGTCCGAGTATTGTCAGTAGGCAACACACTGAGGGTATGGGTCTACCTATAACCATGAAAATGGTTATAGATCCATGACAGTGACAAAGGTCTTGTTAGTAGATAACTGGAGGTTTGGACACATGAAGAATAAAATTTTTGAAATAACAAAATTATGCTAACTGATGAAGTAAACCAGTTTCTATTTTTTAAAGTCTAAGTAGAATTATTATCATAATTTTATTTTGATATTTTGAATCCAAAATTATCAAGTGTATTTTATTTCTATAAAATTTATATTAAACATTTTATTTTTTATTTTTTGACAAAAGTCAAATAATATTTTATCTTTGAGATTACATTTATAAAGATTTATTAAAAAGATTACTAATAAGATTAGGTGACTGATCTGATTAGTAATCTTATTTAGTAAGTAAGTTAATTGGTAACAATGGCATATGATTCAACTTCCCTTCCAATGATTTTCAATTAATTAACTGTAATAATTACTTACTATTTTGCAAAATAATACCTTTCAGTGTTAATAATTGATTAGATCTATTATAATTAAATGTAAATTTCATGGAATGCAAAAATTGCAAGTCATGTACTGCTACATGTGTGGCGCCAAGCTCTATGCCAAACCTCAATCAATACTAAAGCATAACCTTTTAACTAAAAATTTTTATCTGAATTACTGAATAATAACAAACGTGAATTGCGGAAAACAAATACAATTCAATTTCCAGATTATAAAAAGAGAATTGTTTAAATATCTAAAAAAAAAGACATTAAACATTTGAAATGTTTAATTGCCATTGTTTCACGACGTAAATTTTTTTATATTATAAACAAATATTCTTACGCCTAAAATAAAATAAATTAAACAAAATCTGAGTTAAATACTCATTAAAAGCATAACAGCATTTACTTTAGATACAATTTATCAAATTCGTGATTGATTTAAGTACACGTTTTTGGTCTCATACCGGTACAATTAGTAATTCTACAATCTAACAAGTTGTAGAGCGATCACGTCGAACTTTAGTTACTGAAGCCAAAACTATTTTTTTATAGTTATTTTAATGGACTTATTATGGTGAACGCTTTTTTATTTAGGAATTTCTAAGAATCTGACGGAACAAAATATTGAAATCTTTTATCGTTTGACATATACGAGTAACACAAGTTAGTTTGAAGTCATGACTCTAAATCTTAGACTGAGTTAAGAAAATGAAAATTTTTTAAAAAACTTTTTAAATATATCATAAAAAAATGTATAGTGCTTACTTATATTAGTTCAAAAAGAATAATTATTAAATATTTTAATCAAAAATTTATTCATTTTGTTGAATCTTATAATAGTTGTTCAATTGTTAGCGTTATGGAATAGACTTATCCTATACAGACAGATGATATCTTAAGAAGATATATTTAAAGATTTATAAGAATTGTAGCGATATTTACTTATTATTTTTATACACTTTATATTAACATATTAACCTGAGTTAACCTTCGTAATGCCCTCGTACAAATAAAACTGACTGACACTTTGAAACCTGTAACGGGAATCGTACAAGAAGAAGAGCTATCAACACTTGTCCTCAACCTAATATTACTCGACATCGTTAATAGGTTTACTATCGAAAAAGTGTTTTAAAAAAAAAATTGTATTTATATAAACTAGTAATTAAAATAAATAAAAAATTGGAATCTACTAAAATAATTACACATACATCATACATATGAATCATATTATTTTTTAATAAAAAAAACATAATTATTTTGCTTAATTTTTTATATATTTTAATTTTAATATAATTTTGTAATTAATAAACTTTCAATTTCAGGGTCGCACATTTGGTTCTGTTATTAAAAGTTTTTTACAACTGTCCGGTCCTTTAAATGAAAGCTATTTACCACTTTACAACACAGAGAAGGGAAGTAAGTCATACATTTAATAATACTAATTATTTAATAAATAATTAAATAAGAAAATATTATTCATTAAATCGTTGTTTTTTCTTTGTAGAAAATGTCTATAACGAAACATTGGAGAGCGTGAAGAATTCATTTCCACAGTATATTAGAGAACTGGAAGGCGTTGCTGATGGAGCACAAGTGGAGTTTCATAAGGTGAGTAATAATTAATGGAACTACATGAGCTTACTAAAAATAAAAGTTAATGTAAATAAATAAATTAATGTTCTAACATATAAATATTTTTAATTATTTTATTTTTATTTCTATTTATAAGTAATAAATATAAACTGAGAATCTTAAAAGATTTCAATAAAATATGTAAAGTAATATTGAATAACCTTTTAATAAATCATAATTGTTTACTAATTATCTTTATTATTTGAATACTAATCAATTTTTATAACACTTTTTAATATTTTATTTTGCTATAAAACTTGTGGTATATTCACATCTGTTCTTGTTTAATTTAATTATTACTATGTTAATTAACAATGAACCAAGCTAATAAATGCTAATAAATGTTAATTAATAATTATAACGCAAACATTAATTATGCATGCATAAATTTATTAATATTAATTTGATTTTTAAATTATTGTTAACTTATATAAATCATATTAAATATTAATGTACAAGAAATTATATGTGAAAAATGTTCTTGAATAATTTTTGATTTATTTTTTATTAATTTAATACAAAACGCTCAAAATTGCAATATATTTACTTATTTTATTATTTTAATATTAAAAATAATTAATTTGATTTTTTTTATTACCACAGACAATAAATTTAAAATATTACAAGCATTTCAGTTCATTCGATACACGTTAATATAGCCAATAAATCGATTTTATGGCCGGCATCATGCCAACTTAAAATAAATTCGAAGTGTTAAATTGTTAACTTGAAACTTAGCTAATTAATCTGCAGTTTCAGCTGGTTAAGTGCGGCTTTAATAGCTTAACATTTAAAGTTCGCACTATAGATAAACCAACCATTTAATTTATAGGTACTGACGGATTAACAAACAAACCAATCAAAAGTGCAATCAGTAGTTCATAATTCACATCATTTATCACAAATGAATTACCAACAAATATAAATGTATTTAGATACTTTATTATTTTATTATTCAATGCAGGCCGTTGGATAGGAGTAATTGATTACAGTTTCAATTTGAACAGCAATACCAACAAAATTGTATCATTAAATGCTTAAATTGCAGCAAGTAATTAATAATAATTAATTATTTAATATTACACTATTGCTAATAGGCGTTAAGTTTAACAGTTACAAGTATGTCACGAAACAAAGTGAATACACTACTGGAATCGAGATTGTTAGTACCTTGTAAATAATATGAAAAGATATAAATCTTTTTGTTAAATATGCTTTAATGAAGACACTTTAGATAGTTTATACGTATGTATATTAAAAATGAGTTAACTAAAGTTTACAAATGTTAAAAATGAATTCATTGATAGCATGAGAAGTTTATTTTAAGTCTGGTATGAGATATGAATTTTAATTAGTATATATACGGGGGTTGCTTCAAAAGTTGCTGATAAATTTTAAGATGATAAAATTGTAGTTTATTTAACAAGTGCATTTAGAAAAATATACTCTAATCATATACTAATTATATTCACCTGATCATATTGTTAAATAAAATTCTAGCTCATGTGGTAAAGAAGATATAAAAACCAGTATGAGGTATGGTTGAACCAACATGATGCGTCGAGTAAGAATATTTTGACCTGAAATTTAATTAAAATCTAGTTAAATGAAGCAATTTATTTTTCTGACCATAGCAATACACAAAAGTTAATTTATATTAGTTTTAAAGGTAAATCTGTGCAAGACTTTACATGATTGGTATCTATATCCATTACGTTACCGAATGTAAAGAAATTAATTACTTAAAGAAATTAAGTAAATGCAGATTCTTATCAGATCACAAGGTCCAACTGATTTAAATTGTACAAAATTCATACCAGTTAGTTGTTTTAAGTAAATCAGAACCAACTCAGTACTACAGTATCGGTGCTAATATGTTACTGCGTATGAAAGCATGCAATAAGATTTCGTCCACACTTCACTTTGATAGATTTTCTCAGCTTTTTAGCTCAATCAATACTCAACTCAATCGCAATGTATGTATTACGTGATGAAGTAATAGAATAAAATAAATAAATAATAAATTAATAAAATAAAAATATAATTGAAAATGATAATATTAGCAGCAAAATTATAATTGGCAAATAAAAGTGTCATTGTATTCGTGAATTTGTGTAGTAACCCTTGATGTAAGCATTTGCTATATCAAATCTTGTTAATAACTTTTCTGTATTCTTTATAAAATTAATAATTTTAATATTTAAATTTTGTGTAGTTTTAGCGTAATATTATAATTTTTTACTTAAAGAATTTTTTAAATACAAGAATAATTAAATAGAAGAATATTTTCAAGACCACCAATGATGGGTATTTGGCAATATTCGAAAAAGCTATATGGTTAGCCAATAATTCAATTAATTAAAATAATATAAAATAAATTTTTGTTGTTGTAGTTCACTACTGTTCGAAAAACCTCTTTAAGAATTTTTTAATTATTTTTCTAAATCAAGCTTTGTTTAATATAAACAAATATTAATAATACCGCATTATATATACAATATGTATATAAAATGATTAAAAACTAAAAAAATTAATTACGAATAGAGTAGTAGCTAACTGACAGCGCTCAGTGCATAAATAATAATTAATTTCTCAAAATAAATTATCATAAACTCATCAAGTTTTATATTCTAATTTAGCAGTAATATACCATATAGTGTATATAAAATACAAATACTATTTTTAATTTATAAAAATAGTGCATACGAATATACTAATGCCGCAAAATAGATTGTTTATAAAGTCAAGTACAATCAGAACATCATAAATATATAATTTGATTGCATGTCTTTAAGTTCAATGCTTTCTGATGCAATTATAAATATTTATATAAATAGAATTATTTTATTGGTAATGTCATTGATAAAATACTATATGTCAGGGTTAAGAATGTTGTACAGTTATTACTTTAAAATCCTTGCTAAATACGAGTCTATTAAGAAAAAAAAACGTATCGATTTGGTTGAACTGAAAATGTAAAGACACTCATACGTAAAAGGTTTACACAACATGCGATCCAAGTAATAATTAAAAACATCTGATATTTTTATTTGATTAGTTAAACTTAAACAATCGTCTAAATTAAAATGCACATAAATCAGATTAACTTAGACATGAGTGAATATACCAACCATTAAAGGACATCGCTAATCATTAAACGTACATAAATTAACATTAATTAAATTTGTAATAAATAACTCGTGTTTACTAATTTTTTTGGGTTTATTTAACTTACTTAACTTAATACATTAATTTAATATTATTTTATTTAGTTATATATATATATTTATTATTAACTTGCCGCTTAAGTCAATTTTAGACATAAACACTAAATCCGAGTGAATAATCAATCATAAAAACGCCAAAGCTATTTAACCGCCATTAACACTATTTAACGTTTAAGACTGCAGCCGCTCAAGCGTTGCAACCGATTAAACAAAAAATTTAACATTATAGACCGGAGCCCCAAAACTATAATTAAAACTAAATACGTAATTTTGTAATGAACTTCAAAAATTTGTGAAAAAAAGCAAATTTTTTCTAAATAAAAATAAACTAAAAATTAAATTTTTCTATGTCAAACTAAAAACGTTGAACGCATGATTAGATGTTTAGACTGAAGCGACTTGAAGAATTGACTAAAGATTTTGCCGAAGACTTATTAAATTGCATTGCACGCAATTTTGTTATCGGGAAAATAATTTATTTGATAGACAATTCCATTAATTTTTGGCCACATATTACACTTCAAAACGACCTTCATATATAATTCATGTAGAATCCACCTCATTAGCTTGAAATTGAGATACTGAATTTGTTTAATATCTCAATTAATTGATTAATACAAAAAATTGCGTATCATATTTCAAACTATAATATAATATAATAAATAACTCTAACAACTTAAGCTTTTGTACCATATACCATATATCTTTACAAGTTTATGTTGCAAAATTACTATCTATTTACCACTTTTTGTTTTTGCTCAGCCAAAAAGCAATTATTAACAAAATAATTATTATAAACAAATATTCCATATAATAAATAACTTAATGTGCATATCAAGGTCTTCTTCAACTTGTTAATTATACTGCAAGATCTGAATTACAATTTCTGACTGACCTCAAAAAATATTAATCGCTTTCACTTAATAAAATCATCATCTAAAATTATGAATTGAAACTAACTAACTACTTACCGCCATCTACTGACTTATTTATGTTGTATTTAAACTAAAATTATATTTTTAACTTATATTAAAATTAAAATAAAATGTTTTGTTACAATTAATATTCTATTGATATTTAAATAAGCCAAAAATTCAATTAATTAAAATAATATAAAAATAATTTTTGTTATTGTAATTCACTACTTTTCGAAACCTCTCTACTAATATTTAAATAATAAATGAAATAATTATCAACAAACGAGAGTAAAGAAAATAATTTTATTTTACAGCTCTTCCTACTTCATATGGATGAAATACTACCTCAAAGTCTTAAACACCAAAAGACAAAAAATCAACCAACTGGATGTTCCACAATAATACTGAATACCGATAAAAGTGTAAGTTACTGTCATACACACAATATCCTTATTATTCAGAACAAATATTTTATTTTATTTACTCTAGAGAGTTCTGGCTCATACCGAGGATGCCCTAACGGAGACATTAAATCATTATTATTTCGTGGTTGCGCATATCATCAATGAAACACCACAAGGAAAATACAATGTTAAAGAAGAACGTTTTATGTCTCTGTAAGAGTTTTAATATTAAAATATTTTTAAATGAATAAGAATAAATATTCTTTCCTAGATAGACATTTCTCTTAACCGTACATTAGTACTTGTCTCCAGTTTTCATTTTTCAAACAACGTATCTTGTTTTAAATGGATAGTTTCTTTTACAGGGTAGAATTGGTAATCCTAATGGCAACCATCACAGCTGCACGAAGCACCATACATTTATGGTGTCCGATATACAATAGGTTTTTAGTGTCCCCCAAAAATCTTGTTTTAAAAAGTTTCTTTTACAACGTAGAATTGCTCAAAAAACATAATATTATATAATGTAATATATTTCAATGGGGCCATTTAGCGTTCTTATATGAATAACACTCTTTCCCCTCGTTATGCAAAGACTGGTTTCATTAACATCTGTTCAAAAGAGCTTCAACTATATGGAGTTACAAATCAATAAATTATAAAGGTTAAATTCATGAGCAACAATAACAAGAAAGATCCGTAGCTGCTACATGCAATGTATATAACACTGATCTGAAACTCATGAATAAAAGCAATTGAAACGTAACCATTTATCTAAAATTTAATTTCTTCGCTTTAAATTAATCATATATGTACGTAATGCAAAAAATAAATTAAAATTGTTTGGAATCCAAGGTTCTTAACGTTTTTCCCAATTTTCACATCACTTCACCTAAAACAATTTCGGTAAAAATTACATTATTACTCGAATAACGTTAAAATCCTTTACGTTACCTATTACAAATCTATCCGGAGGTTTTTTGCAACTGATATCGCCAGGCACCAATAGGTCTATGTCTATAGGTCCAAACAAAACACCATAACCTAAGCTTAATCGTCTCAAAATGATATCCTAAAGTAGTACTTTAAGTTTAGAAAATAGAAAGAAATTGTTTCGAGTTATAACTAAGTTGAGGAATGACATAGTATATAAGGATAACTATTTTTCGTACAATAAAATCACCAGGACGTACCAATCAGTTTTTTTACTAAAATTGGACAAACTCAATTTGAAATATGAGTTTGTTAGTATATTAAATGTAATTCTGTGAATTTTTAATTTCCAATAAATGATAACATATTTATAATATATTTAGTATGTATCAAATATTTTTCAAAATAAATATTTTCTTTAAATAGTTGCTATGCGGGTCATTTGCCTGGATATACAATGAGCTACAATCACCACGGTTTAGTATTCTCCATCAACACTGTATCAGCTGAAGTACTAAGAAGTGGCAAAACTCGTAAGTTTCAAAACAGAGAAACCGAAACAGAAGTCTAAAGATAGAATTTATTGTTTTTGTTTTTTATATATTATCGCAGCACGTCACTTCATAACAAGAGCGTTACTTAGTGCCCAAAACTCTGAACAAGCTTTTAATATAATTAGAGATAAAGGCGTTGGCGCTGGCGATGGTTGTTCCATTAATATGACACTCTTAAAGTATATATATAATTTTTGATATATATAATATTTTTTAACAATTTATTTTCTTTTAGTGAAAATCCAAAAATATGTTATAATATAGAAATGGCGCCATCACTTGGTGACTTCAAAGAGTCTTTAATTGATATTAAAAAAATTTCAATTGGTGAACATAACTACCATGCAAATCAGTAAATTTATATGAAACCTTGCTTAATGATTTGTTAACTTAAATTTAACTTACAGATACGAACGCCTTAAACTTGATCAAGCGAATGAATTAATGATTGCCTCCAGTGTATCGCGAATGAAAACCTTTGAAAATTACAATCCACCAACTAGTAAACAGGAGGTTATCGATATGCTAGGTGATTGCAGTGGTGGTGAACATTGTGTTTTCCGTGAGGACAATACATTGGAACAAGCGGTTAAAACAATTGCAGTGGGTGTATTCGATTTGAATGAGAAGACCTTTGCTCTGTACTCAGACAATCCAAAAACTCATGAACCACACGTCATATTACCACTAATTTTAAAAAAGTAAAGAACAAATATTGAAGAGAACTTACTTAGATGTATTTATCATTGAAACGGAATTATGAACATTTTTATTTTTTTCTTACTCATATATGTATTATTACTGAATCCAAATGCTCATTACTAATGTAGTTAACAAGATTATGATTATTTTTATTTTATAAAAATTAAAAAAAAAGAATTTTTAACAATGAAAACATAATTTTTTTATTTTTTTCTTAGTTACAATACTATGTATAATATATATAATCATTGTAATCTGGTATATGATAAATGTATTGCCATATTCACAGTCTAATATTATTGTAGGTAATACTCCGTACAATGCCCTTAGCAGGAACATTGACTATAATTAGAGAAATAATAACTATATTTTTATAACCACGAAACAAATCTTTTAAGACAGAAAGATACTTAATTAGTTGCAACTAAGGAGTTTTTTTTAATCGGCAGTTTCAGTGATATATACCAGTGTAGGTTGCCGTATTATAACAAGAACATAATCTACTAAAGAAGATTTTTCAATCTTCTCTATTTCAGATAAGTATAGGACATTGATTCATTATATACATATAATTCGCATTCAGATAATATTGAATCTATCGTGTCGCCTGCTGCCTTGATGGTTCCATTATAAAATCATAGAGCTTCAATAAAGTCTATCTGTGTATCCGTATTAATTGATGACTTAATGTTTTCGTAGCTACTCTTCATTTGATATGGATCCATATTACCATATTTTTAATATAATAGCTAGGCAGCGGTTGCGTTTGATATCTGATATGAGCAACCACGGTACCGAATCATAGAGTACAATTGATTTGAGGAGGACATTATAAAGTTTTTATTTTGAGTGACAGACTATGGTCAGACGGTGGTCTTTATTACAATATCGTTCGATCTTTATGTATAGACTAATATTATCTGAAGCGGTTTTGGGTCCTTTAACTTTCTTCGCATATGTTCCTTTTTATGTGCAAATAGGACAATGTATTTGATGTACTCTTAGTCTTTCAGATGTTATTTGACTTTCCACAATAATCCTATTGGGTAAATGAAGGCAAATAATAGGAGGGAGAGAGACAACCCTTAATGCTGGTTATTTGTTTGTACTATTTATATCGTATGCTGAAACTTTATTGGCCTTATAAGTTTTTTAGGGGTCCCTCCTGTCTCTAGAACTATTCACTAATTGAACTAGGCTTTGTTTTCGGTATACTACTATTATGTACCTATATTATAGAAGCTCATAATTTATATAATATTTAATAAATATTTATATATATTTTTATGCAATTAATTTTTAACCTAAATTCGAAAAGTTTTTTGTGTACTACATAAACTGGTTAAATACTCTTAATATAACTAATATAAATAGTTGTAAAATATTTTAAACGTGGTATGCGTTAACATTTTTTATGTCACATAATAAGTAACTAAAAACAATGTTCATTATTAATTGAATTTTAATATATGGTAAATAGCTTCGAAATCACTTTAAAAACGATTATGTTGTTGTTATTTTCTGCGCAAAGTATATTTATTCACCGAGCAAAAGAACTATTAATCAAGAACCTATAAAAATTATGAAGTGTTGAGCTGCAAGCTTCAAGATTTTACGCTTATGTCAAACAACGCTTTAAAGTTAATTATAATGAAATTAATAATCATAACCGTATTATATTTAAATATTCAACACATAAAAAAAAACTATTAATATGAAATATTTTAATGGACTAAAGCAGAATTGCACTTTTTAAGACAGTCACTCTAGGTCAGTAACTCCATGCACTAACCAAAATTGAATGAATTCATTTGCGATTTAATTAATCTTTAATCGAAATTGTTAGAAATAATAGACATTTATCAACAAACGATCAAACGTCCTTCTAGATCTCTTTCGGAATTTTATTTTTATCAAAGACTAAGTAATATTGAAACAAATTAACAATGACCGTGACTTTGATATTCAGTACTACATGTATTAAGAATTTATAATTAAAATCGTGTAGAAATCGTAATTACTATTTATTTAGTTAATAGCAAATATTTAAAAAATTTTTAGTAGAACATGTTACTTCGATTCTAATTATTTTATATATTTTGCATAATTATTCTCAATTATATTAATTTATTTTGTTTTATATTTTACTAGCGTTGATATAGGATCAAGTGTATAGGCACTTTGTAACAGAAATTGTATTAAGTGTATATATTGTACCTAACCTAGTACTATAGAAGTAATACCACTTTTCATCGTCGTCTTTCTCTATTTTTGAACTATTCTACTTATTGATAAAGAGGAATCTTATCAATAGATTTATACTTGTTTATATTACCAGGAATTTGTAAAAGAATTTGATGATTTATTTATTCACACAATCAGTTTTAGTTCTTTTTTTATTAAAATATAATTTTTTATGAACTTGATCAAGTGCATCAAGATTAAGAACAACTTCTTTCTTCTTCCCATATCAACTAATGTGAAACCATAAAACTCCTGACTTATACCTCAAATAGGATTAATAACTTCATCCACGACTGAGTGCAAATGGTCTTACATCATTGCATTTGCAAATAACTATATCAGACTTTTGCAATACAGAAATAAAATATATTTTAAATATATAGATATATAATATTTTATAATATAGACTCATTGGATCTCTTTCACATCAACTGGATGACGAAATGGTTTAACAAATACGGCACAAAAAATAAGAGCAACTCACTTCTCCTTAACAACCATTAAAGTATCACAATGAGCGATAGATTTCTCTTCTTAACATAAACTAACCTATATTTAGCAACTTGCTAACAATTGATAACATCATAATTAACACAATCAAATAGTTTAGCTTACGATATTTGCACAGGTTCCTAATTTAATTTCTAACACTCGCGATACAAAAATAATATACGAACAAATAAATGAATATACGTTTCCGAAAACCACTGATTACGCATATTTGGCTATATCCACAACAGCTGTAAGTTCATCCTCTTGATAAAAAATTATTTGATTTTGAACATTTTCGCAACAAACCCTATTTTCGAACCACCATAATAGTAAGACTAACAATGTTTGCATTAAAATCCCGCTAAGATCTCGTTCAAAAACACACTCTAAAAAGCTTCATGAGTCTATCAGAAAAAGTGCTTGCTGCACTTCTAAAATACCTATTTAAATCTATTGTATGTATTGTAAATCTATTGAACTTTGTGATTTAGTTCAATCTGGCATCACTCGGGACCAATATGTCTATGTGTAACTAACGGCCAACTGAATTAATATTAACTAAACTACCCTATTCTTTATTCGAAATAGAATTCTTATCATAGAACATAAAATTTTTATTAAATTATGAAAAAATTGGACATTACCGATCCCAAGCCAGAACCATAAGAGAGGTGATAGTGTGCTACAATCGAATCCCATGAAGTTAAAGACGCCATAAGTTAAATTCTATAAAAAGTTTTTTGAAATCGTTCTCAGCTATGCTATCAAGGTCCCATAATGTTATGCAATGACAGAGTAATAGAGTAAACGTGATTGTCTTGAATGTAAAAACGAATAATTATACTTAAAGTGAAATCGTAAAAATCCCGATTGTGAAAGCTAAACGAATAGTAGAGATAAAAGTAAAACACCCTTATCCCGTATAAAACCCGATTATACCGGTTTTGATGCAATTTATATTATTTTCTTTAAAATTATTGGATTTAAAGTTAAAATCCTTATTCCGTAAAAATCGCGATTATACTAGTTTTGGTGTAATGTGTATTATTATTATATATATTATATAGAAACCTTTACTGTGTCACAGCATTTTTTCTGGGGCATTTTAGTTGTTTTTATAGCGACAACTTTTTTTATAATCGATACTTTTTTCTAAAGTATTTATCATCAAATGTAACGAATACAGAAGGGAGGCCAAGGTTCATGGACTGTAGTGCGAAATAAGAAGAAGAAGTAACGAATGCACGATTGAACAAATATCCAATTCAACAAACTATAAAACTCTTCCATTGACTTCTATTCTATATAACGAATTATAAATTTTTTTATGGTACATACATATAGCGAACAGATAATTCGTTATAGAGAATTACTGTACGCCTTTGTTGTCTGGCTTAGATAAATCTAGCTCGCCAGGTACTAAGACCATTTTTTCTCCTCTCTCTCCTAATTACTGGAATGACGTTTTCACAATGCTGTGGAAATCTTCTCCATTCATTCCTAACAGGTGGTTTAATGGGTTCAAGTCTCACACGGTGGCTTTCGATTTGTTCTGCTGGTCTGCGTTTACATTAAAACTATTGTAAATATTAAAAAATAACATTAATTCATAAAATTATTCTTATGCAATTATATTTGTGTATTTCTAAATAATTCCTTTTATCATATAATTAATATAATATGTATATATAATATTATTATAAATTACTTAGGTATTTTTACGAAATTCAAATTTTTATATCGTATGCTCTAAAAGTTTAATTGTAAATATTATACATAAATTTTTAAATATAGTAAATTAAAAATATTCAAATATATAAAATAAAATTTACAAAAAAAATTAAATATATTATAGTTCTTCTTGATTTTGCATGCTGGTTTATGTTTCTTTTTTTCTTTTGCTTACAAAAATAAACTTTAGAAATATATTTAGAATTCATTTTTCAATATTATTTATATAATTTTATTTTTACAATATATTTACTGAAGTATAAATACGATTTTTATAAATTGTTGTAAGATTAGTTTATTACCAACTAACGTATTTTAGTGTATCCCAAAATTAGAAGTGGCAAGTAAACTAAGGAAGATCACAATTGGATTAGTTAAGCCATTTTATGGTAGATCAGTATATTTCAAAATAATTACAAGAACTAATTTGAAACAACATGATTTTAATATTATTGCTTACTTTCAATTTTAAACAAAATAACATATACGTATATATACAAAAGAATACCAATGTTATACAAAAAAAATTATTCAATTTTACAATTTTGTTAAACTTTTGATACAATTCAAATGTGTACTTAAAAACAATACAAGACATGAAAAAATTATATATAAAGATATAATTATATCAGTAATAGAAGAAATGGTATAGATATTTGTAATTTACTTTAATGGTAATAAGCAAACAAATTTTAGTTTTGAAAAATACTAAATAATTTTATAAATGATAATAGAATAACATCGCAAATTCAACATTAATTTCATGCCATTAAATATTTATAACTATAAAAAATGAGAAAATTTATTTATTAAATTTTATAACGTTTTAATTGGCAGAAGTACTATTGTGCAAAATTTTTTATTGAACAAATATAGTTAAGTTTATTTTATATATATATATATATATATATAATGCTTTAAAACAATCTCCAGCGACTGTTTTTATTTTTGAGACAATATCGAGAAAAAATCAATATATTTTTTTACACATATGTGTGAAGTACGCAAATGCTTTTAGGCAAAAGAAGTACTTAAACTTATATATCACCTCTACCTATTTTTGTATTACTTTTTAAAAAATTACTAAAAAATAATGTTATTTCATCTCCTTAAATTAATGTTGAATATTTTGATGTTATATCATAGCAGGGAAAAATTTAAAGTTACATTATCCCCAATACAAAAAAATAATGACGTTATGTTGGCGCTTATATTATGTATAGTTTATGATCTTAATCATAATGTATAGAACTAGTTTGGTATTATAGTTGAGTGTAGTTTGTTCATATACTCCTGTTTATTCCTATACTTCTACATAAAACGTTGACGCTTACTACTAAAATGGCAGACATCCATTTTGTCATCTATCGGACTTGCTGGGCGTTTACAATGACGTGCTATTTCACTAGCAACGAATGCCAAAAGCTCAGGACCACTGGAAAATAAAAAAAAATCAATTTTAGATAAAATATATAATGAATTAATATAATAAATTAATGTATATAATAAATAAATAAAAAAATTATTACAACTATTTATTTAATACATTAAATAAATTAATTATACATTAATTAATTATATTATAAAAAATCAAAATTTAATTATATTAAATCTGCAAATCTCTTACATTCTAAAAAATATTTTGTTTTGGTTTATCTTTTCTTATAAGTACTCCAAGCAAATGCTATATAGTGCTTCAAAATGTATGATTATTACGAAGCTTTAACTACTCAAGTATACTCGAATTCGAACATTAGGATCGAAAACTTTAAACGTTTGAAAAATTTCGAACTACTCAAAAATGTTCTATAAAGTGATTCTCGATCCGATAAAGCATACTTGAACAACATCTTTGGAGTTTCGAAAGGTTTGAACAACGAAAGGTTTAATATTTGAATATATTATACTGAAATAATTTACCGTGGTCTTAATACTAGTGCCTCCTTAAAAGTATGTAGATCATTATTTGAATCCATTGTTGAAGGAATTTGGTGTTGTCCATGTTGACCAGTATGATGTAAGATATTAGGCGAATATAAACCTCCAGAATTTGAGTGTGAATGAGCATGTACTTGCTCAGGTTTAGGCGAACTATTTTAAGAAAATTATTATATAAAAAACTGTGTGTATAATATGTAATATATTTTAACAAAGACTCACCGACGATTTAAATGAGATGTTGATAATGGCGGTAAAGGTTTACCAGCCAAATAGGCTAACAAATCTTCACGACGTATCATACGTCGCTTTTTACTACGCGCCCAATCAGCTAATTCACGTGTGCGTCTTTGGTATCCACATTGTATTGCAGCTTCATTCGTTCGTTTTAATCCATCACAAGATTCTATATTATATAAAATAAGATATAATTAAATAAAACAGAACTTGTTTAAATCAATAAATCAAATCACCTTTATAAAGTGTTGTGACTGTTCCAGCAGCAGTTTGAAATGGAAGCCATAGCGCGCCTGTATCGGAATAGGTTACAGAAGAACGCTCTAGAATTAAAACAAAATGTTATTAATATACATATAAATTAAGACACATTTCTATTCTTAAAAGAAATAAAAATGACTTAAGACTATGAAACTACAGATACTGCTTTTTAGAAATGAGCTTATAAATAAGGTATTAACATCGAAATAGACCCACTGTGTGTATCTAACAAGCGACCGGTACTATATTTTGATCCAGTCATAGTCGACATAGTCACTTTGTATACTAGGAAGACATGTTATGAGACTAGATCTACCCTATAATGACTTTAATCGGGGTTCTGACTCTGAGAATAAAGAGAAAAATGTGCTCGACTTTATATGTCAGTGTCCATTACTGCCTAAAAGACTTAAAATCTTTAAGGCCCATTTTCTTGTTGACTTGCTGTCATTCTGCCAAATTATGAATTTGACCAAATTTATAGACTTGTCAGATTTGTTCACTTTCACTTAAATGAGGGAATCATGCTCTCTGCTTCTAGTCCGCGTATGAACATCACTAATCTGTGACATCACAACGAAACATTATTTAAGCTTAAATGGGTTTCGGGGCCCCCACACGAAACTAATTTAACCTAATATAAAGTAAATAACTTTAGCCATATCTACATATTATAATCAGTATTTAGCTAATTAATACATACGAATATAAGGATATAAAACCCAATAGCGATTAAAATCGTTACGGATTTATTTAAAAATTTAATCAGGAAAAGAGTTCAATGACTTAAACCAGGTTTTATAAATCCGAAAGAGGTCTATAACTTGAATCAAAGGAAGATTTATATAAGGGTAAAATAGAAATAAACGAACCCAAATTCTGAGAAAAAGCCATTTAATAAAATCATAAATTTCGCAAATGTGTATATATGTCTTTTGGAAAATTAGGTATAGGGATTTGTATTAAGAAAGAACAATAACGCAACAACAAAATACCTTATAAAACCGGGTTTAGCGATGTTTATGATATGTAATCTGTTGTTATTAAGTGCCCTTTCTTAATTAAATGTACTATGGTATCTATCAAAACAAACTAATATTGCCAAAAATAAAGAAACCCAACGAGTAAATGCAACTGTTTAAGTAGTATGTGGAAAGCATTTTTAACATATAGAATATAAATGTAACTTTTTTTTGAAGGTTTTGTAAGGAACGTTATTATAGTCATTATATAAAATCTATATATTTTGTAGGAAGACTGAAATATTTCATAGACGCAGAAGTTTTCTATTGTATATTCACAGGTAAATCATAAAACCTGTAGTAAATAAAGAAAAAAACACAAGTTGATTTTAATCTTAAAAGGAAATTGAAAATTACGCAGAAGAAAATAAATGCATTTGAAAAGAATTTGAATGAAAATGGAATGCAAAACTACCCTAAATATGGCAAAGTAACTGAGAAACGAACAATCGAACGACGACCCTTTCGAACAGCTGTTTTTACGCATCAATTTTAGGTGTGTGAGAGAGGTAGTCTACTGCTTACATATAAAATTTTTATTTACAATGCACATTTTCAATGAATTCACTGAATATAGAACGAAATAATTAAAGAAATGTATTTGTTTGAAAGTAAATATAGATCAAATAGTCTAAGAAAATACATTAAGCCATATAAGTAAATAAAACGGCATGATAAAATATGTGGGTAGGTAGGACAAGAGATATAAAATGGAATGTAAAGAGATCTATTTGCAGAAAAAGTAATTGTATACATTTTTTTTAGTAAATTATAAAAAATTTGTATATCATAACTACTATTAAATCAAGTTATTAAGTTAAATTATGAAAATAGATTCGTTGAAACCTTAAATACCCCTAATATCTACAGAAATATAAAAGAAATTTGACTTTTAATATTGTTAACAACTTTATAAAAGTGTTTCTAATTGTTATATTATAAATATATGTAACAGAATTGTTTACATAAATGGTGTCTGAAAAAGTCTTAGAAATAATAAGTATCTCAAATTGACCATGCTATCAAAATACCAGTTGATAAAGCACACTTAAACGAACATTTAAAAGAAAACAAGTTGTCTCCAAAATAAACACAGAGGAATCTATTTGACAGGTTAGTTTCAATATGCCTACTTGTACCTTTTATCACTATACCTTTCCAACTACATATTACCTTCCCTATTTCGCCCTATCTTGCATCGTGTTTACCGTGCTTGCTATCAGGTCAACATATGGTCACAACAATAACAGAAGCGACTGTATATAAGTTCTACATCAAGTGCATTTTATTCTTCACAACACGGATTAGAGCAACAACGTAAACTCGTTTGAAATGATAAAATAAAGGACATCATCCCTGTTCCTAAACAAACACTGTATAAGAAGCTCCGACACATGCTGAAGTTTATTGCTCAAAGCCCAGTTTACAACAATATCAAATTTAAATACCTTAATGAATGGCAACATAGGTGGGACCATTCCCAAAAATCAAGATGGACGCATTCGTTAATTCCAAATATAAGAGTTTGGATTAACCGAGGATCTGGAGACTTGGGATTTCAATTAACACAGTTTCTTACGGGGCATGGCTGCTTCCGTGAATACTTATACCGGTTTAGGCTAGCAAGTAACCCGTACTGCCAGTCCTGTCCAGATAAAATTGAGAGTCCTGACCACATAATTAGAGACTGTATAAGATTCGTAGATACTAGACAAAATCTAGAGACACTAATTGGGGAATCCAGCCCTTCTACTATGGTAATGCAGATGTTGGCAAGCATCGAAGAATGGAGCTTTTACAAGAGCATAATCTCTAGAACAATAAATACTGTTAGAGCGGACGAAATACTTAGTACACAATCGGAGTGAATGCACGCTAAGTGCTCTTCTAACCTGCCCTGTGAAGGAATACCTTTATTGGTCGTACTGCAGGGATTTTCAGGATTTTGAGTTGAGAATGTAGGGGACTTTTTAGTCCGTAGGCATGTATGACTCAATTTGAGTCGTGCATGAATCGGGCATGCAAATGGTACGGGCCATTTGTATCTTTTGAAGATTTTTCCCCCAGGTCCGATACCAAAAAAAAAAAAAAAACAATATCAATAAACTAAAATCTACATGGACTTCATCCATGTTTTTTACACAAACACTATAAAAGAAGCTCTGACCCACGTTTTGTAGTAACTATGAATAATAATGATGAAATTTTTCTATTAATTGCAATACCTACCAAAAATCAGAACTGGTATAAAGAAATAGTATACACTTATTATTTATAAAATTGAATAAGAATGTTGGAAACAATTACTACTAATAATAGACCCTGCCTTAAACCTAAGCCGAGAATATAAGCTAATAGACGTTCAATACCTTACTATGCTTATATCTGCACAGCAAAATTTAATTATATTTAACACATTTGTTTTACTTGATATTAAATGATTTAAAACCCACTTATATGCATATTCATTTATAATAAATGTATATATAAATTTATTCATATAATATACATATATGTGTATATCTTTCCTTTTCATATACCAAAAAAAAACGTATATGTGAAAATGAACGACATTCTAAGTATTTTCCCCACACTTTCATTATAACCTCATAAAAAGATTTTTATTTTATTTAATCTAAAAAAATCAATGAAAATTGCATCTGCAGCAATAAAACTGAAAACGTATACAATTTGCAAAAAAAAAAAGCAATAATTGCACGAAATGAGCTATTTTAACTTAATACCATAAAATCACATATGAACTTGTGATGCATATAAATTCCTACATGATGACTACACAGAAAACCCACCTCTGTAAAGATGAGCTACCGCAGTTGCCGACTCTTGAAATGCACCCCAAACGGTACCCAAGGAACTATCCCGATGTCTGACATATTCACGTTCGTTTTCGTCGTGTTGGGCGTTTATCTCACGATGACACTGTTCTTCTAGCCAACTTTCTTCACTGGATTCTTGTTGCATTTTTTTAATACGTTTTCTTTTTTTCTTCGCTTTTCCGCAAACTTTTTTGTTAAATAATATTAATTATTACCAATAACAACTTGTAATAATCGTTAACTTATAACTTTAATTAACAGTTTGCTTAAGAACGTATTATGTATTCTGATATTCAGAATTTTTTAATTAATAGCAACTTCCTTAAATCGCTGACTTCATGTCAATGCAAGCTACACAAATCTTACTGCAACGCAAAACAGGGTCCATTTAATGTGTGAACAGACACATATGTATGGTTAAAATTTCTATTGTTTCTTTTCTTCGCTTATATCCACTTTTGCTTTTATCTAGACAATTCATCAACATATCAAAACGTACGAACTATTATCTTCCATATTAGACGTCCTCATATTATCATTTAAATTTAATTAAGAAACACGTTTTACAGTACAAATAATGCGATAATGATTTCACTATTAAATGTTATTAAAACTTATTTCACAACACAATCCCACAACACTCCTTAATATCTATAATTCACAACTTCTAAACTGACAAGAACAAAATTTCTAAGTTCCTTTGTTTGAGTGTAAATATGCAGAGTTGATATTTTTAGTATTGATTTGCAATTATGTTGTTGATGCACATTTATTTCCAGAGATTATGTTTATCGCTAAATACTGGAAACATAAACAATGCGATATTTGCTTTGCTAGGACAACTTCAATATGTACGCTGCTTACTTGATGGATTATAATCAGCTCCTTTTATTTAAATGAAAATACGCAGAGTTGATATTTTTAGTATTTATTTGCAAAAATGTTGCTGTAAATATGTATTTCAGAGGATGGGAAACTATATATAGCACATAATACACATAAGCGAAACTGAGGAAATTTTGAATAATTGTGCCACAATTGTGTATAATATCGCAAAAAACCTCTTTTATCCATTTACCACACCGTAATTGTGAAATATAAAAATCTATATGACTGATAACCAAAGTGTTGACTACCGTATAATTCTCTAACAAATTTTAAATGCTAAAAAACCAAAACAAACAACGAAATTCTCAAAAACTGCTCTTATTCTAGCAAACACTGTGGTAAGTACAGAGTGACCAAAATAGCAAAGTTATTAAACATAATTGGTAGCATTAGTATATTTGTTTTTGTACAGCTTGATATTTTTACCTCATTACACAAAATTTTGAATATTAAGTTTGTTCCATGAGCTACTCATAGTAAAACACAAGTAAAGTACGAACTGCGAACTTAACACAAATAAAATGCAAAATTATGCTCTTTACACAGATTTTCATGAAACAGCTTTGTGTAAAGTCTGGTGAGAACACCAGTGCCGCGTAGATAAACAATACAAGAATTTGAATTCAAACCAAAACAGTTGATTTACACATCAACACAAATTTTACTTGAAATAAAATGTACGAGTAAAGTCTGTGTAGCATTTTCAAATTTCCATAGGGATGTTATGGTACGCTCTTTCAAATGCTTTCATTTACTCGAAAATTTGCTGGTGGAACCAGCTTTAAGTAACACTGTGTAAAAAAAGTAGTGTTAAAAAAGTGATATGAAATTGAAGCAAATGGCATCACAAAAAATATTAATTTTACTGAACGGCAGAACAAGCTGTGAATTTTAAGTTGGCATCACTAACACTTACAGCTGATTTTGTTTGCAAACAAACATATAAATTTAGCAAAAGTAGGCGAAAATGGTGTATGCGAAATAATAATATTCATATAACTTATTTTTATTCCCTTTTTAGTGTTTAACGAAATCCTGATGTCTGATGTCAAACACAAAGAACAGCTGATTGTATAAAAATAACCAGATAACTTACATAACAGTCTGTTCATGGTGCACAGAGATTAATTTTAAATTTTATAACCACATAACCCAATAACCCGTGCCCCGTGAACAGCCTATATAGTTTATAGTAATAATATTGTAACTTTTATTATTACCGTAATTTTTTCTTTCAGAGCAGGAACATAATAACATTAACTCTGGTTGAAAGAAATTGACAGCACTTTTAAAATATATTGAATGTTTTTGTTTGACATATATTTTTTGTTGTGTTGTGTACAATATAATATGATACGAACAACTTTAATTTTAAAACGTATTTTTAGTGAACATTCACAATAGAGTGACTTTTAAATTTGGCCGCTTTAAAACATTAGTCGTAAAGTTTTTTGTAAGTGAAATCGAACTCTGAAAATTTTTAAAGCATTGTTGTTGCTTCATATGTTTTCTTTCGTAAATTGCGAGTATTTGTTTGCTACTCTGAAAAAAAAATTACGGCTCAAGTTATCTCAAGAATCCACGTGTAAATTCGCTTTAAAAATTCTACTACTAATTTTAGCATCTATTTTCAGCTGTTAAATGGCAAATAGATATTCAATCATTTCAAAATAGAATAAATTTGAAAGAAATGTACAACAATTATGCAAATTTATTGAAATTTTGTAAATAAATTTAATAAAACTGGATTAATATCGCTTGTATAAAATAAAAAGTATCACGTGTGAGTTCACTTCAAAATTATTATATACAAACGAATTTGGGCGTGCCCATTTAACGTATGAATTAATTATTTTACTTAATATTATTATTAATTTGCAGTTTTTACTTCACTGTGTGGTTAAAAATACAATAAAATTAAGAGTACTAATTATATCTGGATTTGTGAATCAACTGCGGCTTGGAAAATGGCAAAAATATATCAACTTAACTTCGAGTATTAGAAAGAAACGATTAAAACGTATATTTATTTTACTCATATTCTCTGTTATCAATAAATTTTAAGTAACAACGTGAATTATTGAGGTATAACAATGGCATATGATAATAATACATTACAATTTTTATAAATATTAAAGTTTAATTAATATACCATAAAGAGAATCAAAACTGTGCAAAGTGCCAAATCAAACGTATGAATGATTAATGCTTTTTTTATTCATATTATATAACATAATTTAGAGTGAAAAAAACAATTTCTATTAATATAGAAATCTTATATTTAATAAAATAATTTTTAAAAAATTTTAATTGTTAAAAGTTGCCCCCTGTGAGGTTTGAACTCACGACCCCTGGTTTACGAGACCAGTGCTCTACCACTGAGCTAAAGGGGCAGTTGCATGAGAGGTGACAAAGTACATTTTTACGACAACTCATACTCACACTAATTAAACTAAAGAGAGGACCACTTGTTGACGTTGACAGCACGGATTTTCAATAAAACGTTCGATTTTCAAAGAGAAATAATTAGTGTTGTAAAACATTTCACTTCAAATTCATTTTTAGGTTAAGTACTGATAAATTTCATTATGTAAATGAAAAAAAAAAGTGACAGGTTATGTTTAGACAAGCTATTAAAACCATTATTTACCTATAATAATGGATACTTTAGCTGCAAACTAAGCTCAAAAGGATAATACAATTATATAAAACAAATATGCAATTGTATAAAAACCTTCAATTGAAATATATCTATTTTAGTTAAATAATAATTAATATATATGTCGTGCCTATATAGATATATACATATAATGTTAAAAACTTTTAATTCTGAAGTTTAAGAATACAAACTGGAATTATACATCTATTATATATACTATGTTTGCGCCTAGATTTTTCGCACTTTTTCTGCATATTTTTATAGAGATTTTGTAATCCGAAATTTTTTTATATCAGCCGACTTCGCTGAATATATCCCTGAATTTTATTTCTTGATAATACTATTAGTGTTGTACATATTAAATTTAATTAAGCCGAATACGTCATTTAGTTTGGTCACAACTGGGGTCTAAGCGCAAGTCTATCTTTGGTTTCTATTTCGAATTTTACAATGTTAAATTTATTTGAACAAATAGGCGGTTTGTTCACCCACAGAGGATTGAGAAAGCACCGAAAATTTGTCTAATAAACGTCGTACAATCACATCATTAACAAAGAAAACATCGAAAATGTGCAGAAAATATTGTTCATTAAACGTCGTGAGGCTGTGAGAGAAATAGAAGATGAAGTAAACATTTTAGTGAGGTCCACCAATATAAAATTAGGGAATGCGTCCTGTTATAGCGCGATTACTGCCAAAATCGTTATTTTGCTGATATGGCACCCTCTGACTTTTTTCTCTTACTCTATGCACACATAAATTAATATTTTAAGGAGAACGTTTTGAGTCGACTGCGTCCATAAATCGCAGAAGTTATGCTAATGATAATAATTTTGTCGATCTATGAAAAGTCTTTTAAAGACTTGAACAAACATTCGTATATATGTAACGCCTTTGATGGAGATTATTTTGTAGGGAATAAAATTAATATTGAAGAATAAATTAATCATTGTTGTTTTATTTTAAAATTCTGGGTTATATTTGTAAATAAGATAATACTATAATATTTATTTAGTGTAATAAGATAATATGTACTAATTATGAAACAAAAAGCAAAAAGGAAAGGAAATTTAGTTTTATTTTGTAAAAACCGTTCTATTGCTAGAGAATGGAGAATGTAATAAGAAACGTTTTTTCAAAGGTGAGAACCGATTCTAAATCGAACTGATTTTGAAGCAATTTGAAGCAACCATTACTTTTGCAAATTCTATATAAACTAATTTTTAACTTTGTGCAGAGTATCGGACCGACTTTACAACTTTATGTGGTTTAGCACTAATGTAAACGCAAATGGTTTTCATTAATATATACCTATATATTTTTTCCAGTAATTTTATATTTATATATGATATGAAGATTTTCTTTTTGTTTCATTCAATTATTACTTATAATTAATAAATATTTTAAATTGTCGGCAACAAAATGATAAACTTTCTTTGAGTCCATAGTGATCAAATCATATCTAGCACTATCATATTTTACATATACTATAACTTAAGCCAAATAAAAATATTAATAGAATGGCTTGTCCAATATTTATAAAGTACAAATTTTAATAGTTTAAAATTTGTTATTCCATTCTATACTCTATCATCTCTTATTTATTTTATTATACATTCCTTGATCATTTAATAAATAATAAAACTTACTGATTCGTTATCTTATCCTTAAATTCCTCTTCTTACCGGTTTAGGTGCGAAAAGTATTTTTGTTTTGCACAACTCTATGTCTGTGCTGGGTCGCACACCCAAACACAAAGTTATTTCAACCAACGATGCCTCTGTCCAGACACTATGTGATAACAGCAGAGTCGATCGCAATCTCACATTACTTTCTTGCTCCCCATGCTCTGTCATAATCTTTTTAAAATCTGTCATTTTCGGTACAATTACATGTACATTCTGATCCGGATATCTAACTTTAATTCGCATATCCCCTCTTTGCGATTCCTGCATATTATTAATTTCAGCTACAAATGGCAATGAGGCAATTAGACCAGCTGTCACCTTTATAACATTATCATACGCCACTTGTGCGCATGGTTCCACAATATTTGCAACGCACATTCGTATATTTACATTAGGCGGTGGCATGCAAACAAGTGAGGCATTTTGCACCAAACGTAAAATTTGACGATACACTCGACCTGGTTTTGGATCGGGAATATTTATAAGTTCGGTTAATAGCGCATTTGTAAATTCGTCAGGCTGTAAATTTTCTTTTTGTTCAAGGAAATTACTTATATCGGCTGCTGTCTTCAATAATAATTGACATGGCGCAAGCGCACTTTGTGAACGATCCTGCACTATTAAAATTAAATTCAATGCAGTTGCTCGAAGACAAACTTCTTTCACAAGCAATAAATCCTCATTGGTAAGACCTGAGAATATATGCTGCAATTTAAGACAATTTCTTATGAGAAGTGTTAGGGATTCTTTAAGTGGAACACGACTCTGTTGATATGTTGTACAGATCTGTAACTGTGCAATTTGTATTTGCGCTGCTAAAAAAGTTTCCAAGAAATTTGCAGTTCCGAACATTTCTGGATCTATCTGACCTAATCGCTAAACAATAAATATATTTTTATATTATCTGAATTTAATACTTTAAACAAAAAGGAAACTAACCAATAAATTGAGTTGAGCTGTTTTCAGTAGTGGAATTCGAGCAGGAGCTATTCCAAAAATTTCATGAATGCGTGTCAGGATTATATTCAAATATTCCAATGAACTTAAACCTTCATGCTTGTCAATGGTTTTTACGGTTGATGCACCTTCTATAGGTAATTGTGGCACCAGTTGTGGCATTGCATCGCGTAAATATGTGTAATGCTTTAGCGTAACATCCGGAAATAAACTGATCATTGGTATTAAATGTTTTGCTGCATTGAAAAGTAATATAAGCACACATAAATATGCGGGATCCTCAACATCGAGTTCAGCGTTTTGAAATAAAGGATGGTCTTGTAAAAGACGGGAGCTCACTGCCATACATAAGTTTGGATGTTTTTGTCCAATTTTACGCATACAATTAAATGTTGAATATTTATCCTGCGGATATTTCGCTAGCACATCAAGCAACTTAAATACAACGCGGATAAGACAAGACTCCGTTGCAACACGGCACACTCCTACCATTATATGTAAAGCTTCACGCACATCCGCTGAGTAATCTTCCAATGAGCTTAACATCATTTCTAATTGATCCTCTCTTAACACAATATGATGTGAAATAGCCACTAAGCTATAAATAGCTTTAATTCTTACATCTTCAATTTCATCATTAAACATGTCCACTAAGAAATCTAAGCTAGTAACTGCAAAATCAGGATTTGAAAGTGCTAGTTTACACATAGCATCTACAGTAGCCGCACGCACTTCAAGAAATTCATCCTCAAGACCAATAACAAGAGCACCGCAGGCACCAGTAGAAAGTAAAGAAACAGATTCAGTATCAATCAACTCTAATGGTGAATCTTTCATCCATCGTTTTCCTGAAGCAAACTCTCCGCTTGCCATCAAAGAAACACCACGTTCATGTGCCGTTTTTTTACGACGTAAATTACTCATTACTTGTTTATGCAATGTCTGATGTAGATATTCTGGACTGACTTGGATTAATTGTGCTAAATGTTCTGCAGCCTATAAAGAAAATTTTTAATCCAATACTAAAAACAAAATCACCACGTTTACCTGCACGCGAATTCGAATGCATAAATCTGAAAACGATATGCAAATCGTATTAAAAGCTGAATCTATTAAGCGCATGGGTTCCTCTTCTTCATTAGCTTGGATCATGTAATCTGGACAGGTGGCACCCAATTTAAAAACTAACTTCAATGCTTCTCTACGTACACACTCATAGTCGTCCTAGTTTTAAGAAAACAAAATGTATTTATTATAAATAATTTTTCTGGTTATTATTAAAGTATACCTTCATAGCAGCTACAGCAAAATTGTAGAGTTCAGGAGTGAGAGATGCTCCTCTTTCACCTAATTTTAAAATTGAACGAAGCGCTTCTGTTCGTACTCCCATGTCCTGTGAGTTCGCATATAGCGCTATGACATCCACAATACATTTCTGAGAATCGTGCAGTGGTATGAATGTCGATAGCACTAACAATGCATTTTTCTGTGTCCTATAGTTTTCGCTACTTAATTGTTTCTGCGCAAAATTTGATATACTCCTCACATATGAAAACGATATTGACTCTAGGTTTTGCGTACCAATAGTATGTAAGCTTTTTAATCCTTCAGAAATAACGTTCTTCGATTTTTCCACTTTTAATATATAAATAATTTTATCCAAAAGATCATTTATTATATGTGGCATGCAAACTTTGGAGATATCGGCTAAAAGATCTAATATCTTTACGCGTACCATGGAATCGCCATCACGCTCTTGCCGGTATAGATCAAATAATTTGGATATAAGCTCCTTTATTTGTGATTCTGTTATATCATCAAACTCCCGTTCATCAGATATTTTAACTATCAATTCGAGAATTTCTTTGCTGTTTGATGTTGTGGAATCTAGAAGAGCCCTAAATTGCTTTGGTTCATCTATATTTTTAGTCGATGATTGTAGACGAATGCGTTTATGAAATTTCGGCGCATGTTCTATCGTTATGGCTTCTGTAACAGACAACTGTCTCTTCCTGGAATCCATCGTAAATTACTTTCCTTAATAAGTATTAGATTCTCATGCAAATTTTAAAAAATAAAAACAAATATTCTGACTGCAATTGCAAGCACAATCGCGGTGGACCATTCCAGGGTTGCACAAAAACGTTTTGTTTTCAATTTCTACTACTTTTTAACAAAAACATATACAAACGTATAATAATTATATGAGTTTTCTGTAAAATCTATAGATGTTTCTTATACGGCATTTACACTAGCCTCAAATAGCGCATTTTGGTCAAGAATCGAAAATAAGAAGCAAATGGCTCATTCTTGCATACAAAATTTCAAGCGCGAATGAGATACATTGGATCACATTCTATATGAATGCGTTCCAACGAAGGTCGAATGCGTTCATAATATGTTCCAAATGCAAAGGAATACAGTGAACATACCCTAAATATAAGAAATGAATAAAAAATATAAGAAATGAATAAATGAATACTTTATAAGTAAATAATAAAAAACTTTATTTTATTATTTAAATAATTCATTTTTTTTCTTACATACAATAAAACAAAATGAAATATCCTATTTATTAATATTTTACCTAAAATTTGAGTTCCTCTCTTTGAAAATAGTATTTATTTTTAAAATTAGGATAGAAATAACCTTCAATTAATAGACTGTAATAATAGTTTATAATTCTACAGATGTTACAGTAAAAAAGAAGCAATGTTTTACCTGCGCATAACTCCAAAAAATTATTTCACTTATTCCACGAATCCCATTCATTCCACAATTTGGGTTTTTTTTCATTATTCTATTGTTTTAAATAACAATAGTTAACGCTTTAATTTGTGGAAAAGCCCATGTGGATTTGTTATAACACTTTTATTATAATAATTTTATTATAATAATAATTTTAATAAAATATATTAAATAAAAATTTAAATATATTAAATTTTTTATAATTTTATTAAAACATATTCGATCAATCCGTGTGGATAAAATAAAAATTTAAAAATATTAAATTTATTATAATAATTTTATTAAAATATATTCAAAAATCTTGTCATCATAAGTTATTTACATATTAAATTAAACTCTTATTAATATTTTTTAACTTATCTCCAACACAATTTGCAAAATAGGATAAAAAATTTTAATTCCCATACAATTCAGAATAGGGTATAAATACCCATTCTCATATGATTCAAAATAGAATAGAGGTGATAAATAAATTTAATATGCAAAGTAACTTTGTGAAAAAGAAATTTCTGTTAAGAATTTATATTTTGTTTAAACTGGTTAAACATTAGAAATTTGCAGACATTTCGTAGAATTCTATAATCCTTGAGTTTTTAACTATATGGTAACACAATGGGCGTATACGCCTAAGTGGATCCCATTGGGTCGCCGTTATAACCTGCCTACTAGAATTCTAAATATCTTAATAGAAATGCATACATCATAAATTTTAAAAATTAGAAAAATAATACGAGATTAAGTCGTTTTTAATTTTTATTATAATTAATAAACGATACTTATATTAAGGTCACCAACATATATATTTCTAACATAAGAACGATTTAAACGTATGATTATAATTATTGAAATAAGAATATTCAATTTACTATCAAAATTAAGTTTAAAATATAAAATTCTTTATTCCTTCTTACGTTTTTTATCAGAATTACTACGATCAGATTTATCTTCACCTCTCTTTGGTGCTTTCTTGGCCATATTCAAGAACTGATCCAAACCAAATGGATCTTCCTCCTTTTCAAATTGTACCGGGCCATTTCTTTGTGGCGCATTTGGACCACGACTAGTTCCAGCGAACTCTTTATCAGGAACGAAACGTTGTGTATTTACAATACGATCTAAATCGGCGCCATACGTGTCATTATCAATTTGTTTACTTGGTCTATACAAGTGAGTGCCTAAAGTATTAGTATCACGCCATGGTTTGTCATAAACATTATAAACTTCATCGTCTCCATAACCTGAATCCATGCCTTTTGTTGTGTTAAACAATCTTTGGTCAAAGAGTGGTTCACCATTGGTAGACGTCTTCCCTGGCATGCCAAGTGCAATTTGTTCTGATATATCTCGTTCACGTTCACGTTGCAATTTGGAACGTTTTTCTGGTGCAGCTCGAGCCAAATTACGATCTCTTTGCCTTTCACGATGACGATCTGCACGTATTTCGTTTCTCTCCCTTACGTCTGAACTTGCGCTAGGAACATCTTCTGGATTTCGTAAACCTGCTCGCTCATCTCTTGCTCTCTGTGCCATCATACGAAGCATATCTTCCTTCTTTTCTTTCTCCTTTTGTGCCAGTTTCTTCTCCAGTTGTGCACGCGCCTCAACAGCTTCTCGTGCTTTACGATCTGCAATATACAATGCCTCAGCCATTTTGGCAAATTTCTCATTAATATGAACTTGCTGCAAGCCACGTCCATCGGCAGCCAAACGTTTGTCCAACGGAATAGTGTAACCTAAAAATAAATGTATAAAAAAATCAAAAACCATATTCCATTAAATAAAGCTTTGTAAATAACCTTTAGCATTTTTCCAGTTTGATATGCAGGGAGGAATTTTCCATTCCTTTTGTTCTTTCACAGTAACTTTTCGTGTTGGTGAATGCAAAACCGGTGCAGGCGGTGATGGAGGTCCACGAGGTACTTTTTTATTAATTCTAAATTTTGGTGGTTCCATTGGATCCTGCTGCGCTTCTACCATTCTTATAACACGCTGTTTAGCTCCAGAATTAAATGCGTCACCTTGTTGTGACGGTGTGTATCGTATATATTGTGCAGGTGCCAGTTTTTCTGCATGTCTTACAGGTAAAGCCGATGCAATTTTTTGACTAGTCAACTTTTCCAACGCTCTACGTGTTTCCTCTGTTGTCTCTGCAATAGTTTCCGCATCAGGAAGTTGTAACTCTTCTGCATCTTCTGCTAATACCTCAGCTGGAAGTAATTGCGATATGGAAGAGTAAACAATTTTATCTTTCCCGTGACCTTGTCTTGCTATGGCGTCGTATTTAATTTTTCCTTTCTCATCCAAACGTACAGCTAGTGCATTTGATTTTTTTCCAATATTTGATGGGCAGCCCAAGCCTTTAAGAAAAAAAAAATAATTCTTACAGCGCATGTAAGAAAACCACACTTAAAATAAAAACTTACCCAATGGATATTGTGCTACGTGGATTTCTGGAAAAGCTCCGCCATCACCAAAATCTGCTTCCGTACGCGGAACCCAATCCTTACGTTGCCCATAGGGAGGTGCTGCAATTTTTGCTGACACCAAAGCACCTATTTTGGGCGCTCCTTTTGCTGTGACTCGTCTTTCATCTTCTCTATCCCAAACGGAATTGGTGGGATTTGGTAAAATACTTGTCAATGACTACAAATAAATCAATTTTAGTTTAATAATATTATAAAGAATATGTTATTTATATTATAAATAAAATAATTACCATAGTAGAAACTTCTTAAAATTAAATCACTTCTTGTTATCGCAGATGCAACTTTATTAATGAAGCAGATTGATAGAATGTAATACATTTATAAAATGGAGAATGACATTTCACTGAATTAAAAGTTGCCATACTCAAAAACTCTTATTTGATTAATATTTCGCTCAGTGTTGTAATTTATGGTACGCATAAATACAACTCTGTTTTGTTAAACTTTATTGTGTTTCTGTTTTTAAAAATTTGTTTTATATAATTAAAAACTTTTAATAGTATTATAAAAGTTAATTAAATTTAATGTACATTAAACATTTCAATAAAAAAAGTTTGATAATTTCTTACGTATCAAAAGATTTTTTACATTTTTTTGTGAATTAAGGATATCTTTATGGTCACCTTTTCTTTGTGATAATTACTAAATATTTTTTTAATATTTTCAAAAAACCGTTATTAGTATTTGTTGGAATATAAAATTTATATTTCTTTCTTGTTGTACAAATTTTAATTTAACTAGCACTCCTTAATATTATAATAATTTACAAAATGAAAATTTCAGCCGATGTAAGTTTTATTTTGATTATTGGATTTATTGACAAAATGCTGGATAACAGTTAATCATAAAAATTTAATATTGAAGGTTATATGTAGAGTTTGCAAGAACGTATTTTGTTGCGAAAAATGTCGTCAAAAGCATGAAATTAAAAATCATGCTATTGTGGTCCAAAATTCTGCCCAATTATCTGACAAACAAGAGTCCTCCAAGGCTATATATCTCTTTTGTTCTATATGCGCTAAACAACCATTAACATTAAAGGTTCACATGTACGAGGAGATGTTGGAGCATATAAACGCAAACCATTTACCTCTTCATTGCATAAAATGTGATAAGGTTTAAATACAAAATAAACTATTTAAAATATTATTTTCAATTTGAATTATTCACAGTTGTATACAAAAATCGCAGATTTAAAAGAATTTACTAAATGTTCCGTAACTTCCAACGTAAGTAAGGAACAGAAATGCGTTTTAAATCAAAACAGTACCAAAGACAGTTCCAAGTCTGGTTTAACAAAAACAGTTACACAAATCACCATTTCAACACAGACATCACCTTTGCGAGAGAACGATTTCGACGTTGTAAGTCATACCCCGATGTCAATGCTACAGCTACGTTGGAGAACACAAAGCAAAATTACGCAGGGTGAATTTATAAGTGACAGCGTTTCATCTATTAAAAACATATCAAATATAAGCAATTCTTCGATTCGACGCAGCATTGGAGTTGGCCCACAAGTTAGAGGAAAACTTGTACGCTCCACTTCAACACCAGTTAACACTGAATTCGCTGTTGCAAAACCTAAAGAGCCCACTTTTAACTCATCCGGTGAACATGTTTCAAGTATTTATGGTAGTGGATGTGATGTAGAAAGTCCAGCAATGCAGAACCCAACAGGAGGGTATATCTATATAATTCTTTTTAGTTAGTATTTGTGATATTCATACAGATGTGTTATATTTTGTAGAACACCCTCTAAACAAGCTTTGGATCACAAAAATAGGTATAGAAAAACAAATAGAACTAAATTGCCAGCGGTCACACCATTGCGACAGGTTATGTCAAAAAGTATACAGAAGGCAATGTTCGAACGCGGATTATGTATACCAAATACAGGTTAGAGACTTAAATGACTGTGAGACTTGAAGAAGTCTCACAGTCATTACGATATCTTTATTTCCCATATAAAACTTACTATATATCTTTTATATTCCCTACTACAAATTTTATTAATTATAATATTCTATACGTTTTCTTTAAACTTTAAATTACTAATGATGAAACTCTGTAGCGGAAGCGCCATTAGATCTTCGTTTGTCACCAGCAATGCGTCGTACTCAAAGTGATGTCTCAGATTTGAGTAGACGCTCGTCGTTATTGCATAAAGCACAATTACACCGTGAGCATTTATCGCAAAAACTAACAGAACAGATTGTTATAACCAAAACCAAACATTTAACCAGTGTGGAATCAGTGACAGACAGAAATTCTGAAATTCAATCTATTAAATCTAATTCCAATTCCAATTCAACTTCATCTGTTCAATCCTCTGTAGACAACGCAAGCACAACATCCAATTCAGTATATCAAACGTGCCATAGCGTCGAGATTATTACTTCTACAGAGTTAAGTGAGGTAAACATACAGAAAAATTCTTGTGCTACTTCAGCGGCGAGTGCTGAAGCGGTTGATCTTCTAAATCCCTTGAAAAACTTTCCTAAAACGGAAGAAAATAACTTTGATACTATAACACCAATAACACGTAAACAAAAAGTTTTAAAAAAAATTATAAAATTTGAAACACCTCAAATTGAGAGTCAGTTAGATAAGGATATAAACACTTCAACAAATAGCGAAGTATTTTATACACCTACTTCGACGCCTTTACGTAAGAGCAGCATACGTAGCAATACCAAAAATTCTGATTGTTCGGATGTTTATAAAGAAGCTGTACCACGAAATTTATCAGAAAAACTATCACCACGAAAGAAAAGACCATTGATTGATGATTGTGCACAGATCCCAACATATAATCATATTGGAAGTCTTAGTGTGGATTATGATGATGATGTTTTCTTACCAGATATTAAAAATTATGGTACAGACAAAAACAAAGATCCGTCGCCTAGCGCCACTACCGGTGCAGGACGTTTATGGTCATTTATGAGTTCTGTTATACGCTTGCCAAGTTTTACTGGAAAAAGAGAAACGAATGATGATTATGATAATAATAAACATTCTCTTTTGAAACGTTGTGCTTCCATAGCAGGTAAATTCAAATCTATATTTATACTTGACTTTAATTTTAACATGAACTATCGTTTTAGGCTCATTAGTACGTCCAAAGCCATTAGTTGATGAAGAACACCTTCAGAGTTTCAAACGTAAACGAACCCATACTCTAGACAATCAATACCAATTAGATATGGGAGACCCCATCAAATCGCCTAATGCGGATGGCTGTTCAGTATCATCTAAACGTTTTCGTATTTATGGTCGAAAACCTATTGATCGTATGCGTGTTAACTATTTATAAACAAATACTTTTAATTTAAAATTATATAATGTTATTATATCATATAATGTTGTGTTTTTTATAATTAAAATTTTAATTTGTAAGAATAATATGCTATATATTTTTTTGTGTTTATTATTATATTCTTGAATATTTGTACTTTTTAATTTTATTTCATTCATTAAATATATATATAAAATTTTGTATGTAAAAATATGCGAATTATATTATTTGTTTTATTTGTCTTTTAAAAAACTCATCAAATATTTGAATCTTTAATTTTTTAAGCAAAAGACAACTTGAAAGAAACTATTTTTTACCCTTACATATTATTTTAAAAATATTATTGCCAAACGACTCCCATTAGTTCCACTCGGGAAGACACCAGACACTAAATAATAATTAAGTTTTCTTTTTAATTTTTTAGTAAATCAAAAATCAAGTGTTGGCCATCACAATATACAATTTTTCCTTTAGATCTATTTGAAATATATATCGTACGTTTCGATTCCGATGTTTTGGGGCTGAGTTAGTACCAAGTAAATATTTAATTTTTTTATATTTGTGTCAGATATTAGTGTTTTAGTTACGATTAAAATAATTTTATTCAGTCCTTTGAATTTATTCAATAAGAAAACAAACGTGTATTTATAAATGAAAACCGTTTTCGGATTGGACATATACCGATTTTGATATATTTTAACTAATATGGTGGAGTAATTTTCACACTGCTGTTGTTATTGCTGATATAGCCCGAGTAGTTAAGATCTATATAGCAGAAAACAAAAGAGATTACAAATATGAATATATATAGGTTAAGATTTGGTAGCGTCAGATGAGTGAGTGTCGTTTGGAATAAATAACCAGGGTTTATGTGAAGAAACCTGACCAATTCAATGGCTTGGAGTTAAAGAACAATAAGGCTCCAGTTAATATGTGCATTACGGTATGAGAACGAATAGGCGGTCTAATGTGAAGTGTAGCTACAATTAGAGCACATATTGGGAATTGACTTATTTATATCTGCCATGTAACTATTTTGTACAATGTTATATGATGACTACGCGAATACTTTCTGATAACTTTGTTGCTGTGCAACCATGATTTCGAATAAGATACTGCATCAGTATAGAAGACTGTTAATCTTCCTTTGTATGGGACCTGATTGAGGTTAGCTCTATTACAATAGGTGTCGATGAGGAAGGACTTTCCTGATCATGCTGTTATAAGCATGCCTATCCATTTAGCATACATGGACAAATTGCTTAGACAGTAGTTGATTACGCAATTTCTCCATTTCTACTTTTCTGCATCCCTTAATTATTGTATGACGTAATACTATGGGAAGATATACAGCTATTGCACTTTTACTTTAAACTATAAATAATTTTTCAAGCGTGCAGTCCATATATAATTATTATAATCATATATTATTTATAATCTTATAGATATATATAATCAGTCATATATATCTATTAGTAAAAGCGTAGTATCAACAACAAATATGAATAAATATTGATTCCATAAATATTGTCAAGTCCTCCAATTTTAATTCGGCATTAAAGAATTAATTTCAATCTTAGTACACTTATTTGTTTACAGCCATTAACCAGTTAACTTAGTAAACTTATTTAAGACAATTTTAAAATACGTTTATTTTTAGTAGCGGCATTTAACTATACATAAGTAATTAACTATTAGTAAATAAATCTGTTATTTTTGTTCAAATTATTTATTTTAAAATATATTTTGATTTATGCTTAAAATAATTTTTTACGTAATCAAATTACATATTTGGGTTCAAGAAATTGATTATTTTAATAGATTTAAACGATATTAAAAAAATATATAGTGCAACGTATAATAAACTTCATATTTATAAATATAAAAATAATTATGATTTTCATTTAAAATCGTAGATACATTTCAACAAGTAATATAATAAAATATATAATAATACTATATATTAATTGAGAATCATATAAAATTAAGTGGAAATTCGATCAAAACATTTATTAGTGATATAACTATTCGAATATAAGCACATGGACGTAGCCACATGTGAAGTGGTGAACCCTACATGAAAGAGGGGTGACATAGTGTTGTGACACATAAGATTCTTTTTCCTATGCACATGCAAATACACACGTTAATTAATAAAGAATTAGTAGAATTAAAATGAATATATGTTTCTTTCAAGAGTGTAATAATAGGTCTGTTCCACGAGTTAATCGTAGTACAACTCAAGTAAAATACAAATTGAAAGCGTAACACAAATGAAGTATCAAATTTCGCTCTTTACACAGATTTTCATGGAATAGCTTTGTGTAAAGTCTGGTGAGTACACCAGTGCCGCGCAAATAAACAATACAAAAATTTAAATTCCAACCAAAACAGCTGATTCACATATCAACACTAATTATACTTGAAATAAAATCTACGAGTAAAGTCTGTGTAGCATTTTCGAATTTCGACAGGGATGTTAAGCTTTCTCAGATGCACACATTTACTCGAAACGCACTTTACTGTTAGTGGAACGCACTTGTGTATACACACACGGTTGCCACTTATGGTACTTTAGTACCAAAATTGGTACCTTTTTTTTTTTTTTTTCGTTTGGTACTCATTTTCAAAAACTGGTACATTTTTGACGACCCAATTTTATTGTGGATATTTCCAATTAATTTTTTTTATAAATGCAACTTTGCACTACTTTATATTTTGTTCATTTATAACACTATAAAAAACACAGAACGAGAAAACAAAAAGGTCCAAAAAAATTTTGGACCTTTTTTTACAGAAATGGTACCTTTTTAAACCAATTTTGGTACAGAAAAAAATTTTCAAGTGGCAACCGTGTATACACAGTGTTACTTAAAGTTACTACGAGTAGCTTGTGGAACATACCTAATATATTCAATAACGAAAAAGTTTCGGTACACGCTCATGTAGGACCAAATAGTTTGAATTATTCGAATAGCTAAAAATCCGTTTGAAATTAAAGTTAAATAATTCTCATATATATTTGGAAGCATGTAATTTTTTTTAGTGATTTGATAATATGTTCTTCGAATAATTCAGACTATTTTTTGAATATTCGAATAGTTCATATGACAAATAAATCAAATATTTTGCTTATCTCTAATAGTGACAATTTCTTTTCTTACCGCAGTTAAATATTTATTCATAGTTAATATAGCGTTTAATTTATATTCTCTATATACATCATTATCATTCGCACTTCTTCTATACCACCATTTTCGAACAGCAAAGAAATCCAATACGTTGCTTATTACTAGTAGCAATAATTTTTTTTTATGGCTATAAAATAGTTATTAATTGTCAATATAGTCTTTAATTTTCAATTCACTATATGCTTCATTATCATCCTCACTGTCCAGTTCACTCTCCTCTTCATTGCTGGATTTTCTCGTACTGTCATTTTTTTCAAAATCTTGCAAAAGTTCATTTTCTTTTATGTCAATTTTATTTATATTATAGCTTAGCCACGGAAATTTGCAATTTTGTTCGATTAAACGTGGCCAATTCATATGAACGCTTTTAACTAAACGCACAACCAAATTTAAGCCACGTACTTCATAATAATAATTGGGATTAATGATTCCAAAAAAGTTTAAGGTTAATAAGAGTTTCTCATTCTCTAAATCAGCAGTAAAAATTAAAGTTTTATTCGTAACGTCAATGCTAAATTTTCTAACGTCAGGCGCATTAATATTCAAAAATATAAATACATCGGTCTGATACCAAATAGTATATGGGCATTTATAAGATGATTTCAACGTAGGTAAATCGGTGAATGATTGATACTTATTTTCATAAATGGAATTCACTTCTTCATTTCCTTTGCTTTCCTTCAGATCAACGCAATTTGCAGATTTGCTAATATTTTCAGTTTGCACTTGATCAGGTTTTATTTTTATTTTCTTATAACTTTCGTAGTCCTGTGTTTCTGCTTCATCCATGGCTAAGCAATTCTGAAAAATTTCTAATATTTCATTATATCCAATTTTAGATTTCTTTATTTCACATTCATCTTTTTCGATTTTATCATTGCGATTATTATTTGAATTTAGCAACTTCATAAATTGCACATTATCTAAAGAATCAGATTCGTAGAGTAAAACTTCATATGAATTTATATTTAAAATCTCATTAGAACATTTGGCAATAGCACTTACAAATGTATACTCTTTTGTTATATCTATAAATGAGCAATTTTCATCCATGCCACTTAACTTGCAGTGTATAGCTTGAAAGGGCATATAATCGACTATTTCATTTGTCGTTTCATATAGAAAGTCATTGTATAATTTGTCTTTATTGACTGTAATGAAGCAAGCGTAATCACAGAAGAAGAAACAGTACATTTTCTCTCCAACTTCATTTTCAAAAACATTATATAATTTTGCACGTAAATATTTTTCATCATATTTTAGAATGCAGTCACTAGATGGAACCAGAAGATGATCTGGAAATATATATTTCGAATCTATTTTGAATTTATTAACAAATTCTTTGGTCATTTTTGATAATTCCATAAAATTCTCTCTAAATTCGGGTTCATCAAGTTGTACATAGATTTCTGACCAATTATCATTGCCCTTCCAATCACCTAATTGAACTTTAATCAATTCATTAAATGATATATGGCACCATTTTTCAATTGATTTCACTTTCTATAAAAATAAAATTTCTATAAAAACAAAATTTCAACAAGTCGTTAGTGTAAAAATGTTAATAGAAGTACTTACTGAATTGCACAATTTATCATTGAAATCATCATCGTTCGTGCCGTTTCCGTAATCAATCCCTTCATTGTTGTCTGTGGAATTAGTTTCAGCTGAGTTCAAAGTACTTTCTGTACTAGCTTCTGTATCTGTTGGTGTCAAGGGTGTATCAAAATTGTCGTTATTTGAATTTGTACCTTGAATTGTATGGTTAATTATTACATCATTTTCTTCACCAAGTTTGCGAAGTCTACTTTCAATTTTAGTGTCGACTACACCCAATTTTTGACGAAGTAAAATATTTTTTAAATTGTCGGTATGCACCCAAATCCGTGTGCATTTTAGGAAATTCAGCACATACACATTATCGATCCAAATGCAATTCGCGAAAGCGAACTTAAGTTTAACATGTACGACTTCGGTTTCCTTTAATTGTGTCATAAACTTGTTTGCCACTTTTGTGGGTGTATTGTCCCAACTGCCCCCATTCTCATATGGAGCAATATTAAGCAAACGAATATCGATTGCTTGTGCTGGAAAATCTTTGAATTTATCATCGCATACATAAAGCATATTAGAATAAAGAGTTGTAGTCGTGCCAATGTCAATTAATTTAATCGTAACCTTATTCTTTGCTCTATCTTTGCTCAGTGTTTTATGTGTACCGATAACTTTAGCCCGATGAAAATTATTCGCAATTTTATATATGCATATATCGTTGATTTGTGGCGAATTATGTGTAACCAAGTTTTCTTCGTTTTGGTAATAATAGTCCAGTTGCATTAAAAATAATGATACTTCACTTGAACGACAAACTTGCTGCCAGTCCTCGGCTGTATTACTTCGGTGCTCTAAAAGGCGAGCAACAAAATGTGTTGGTGAATAAACCTGAAAGAACCGTACAGAATTAATTCACATAAATCACAAGCATAATAAATTAATCTAAAACAGCACACACTTATACTATATATATATATATTATATATATTTTGAGAAATGAGACTGAAAGCTGGCATGCTGAATGGGAAGGAATTAAGTATGGGCTGTTGAGAGACAGCGATATATTTAGTCTAATCTGTAACAAGGTTCAGGAACCTTACCCTCTCTGTGGAATAAACAACCCGCCATATGTGACCTGTGCCGTGAAATAATTGAACAAAAAGCTATATAATGCGTTGTAGAGTTTCTACAGATACTGCACTTTTGAAAAATAGTCACCTTTATTCTATTGAGACAAATAACTGTTGAATATATATCTATAGTTTTGTCAAAATAGTACTAGCTACAAGGGAAGAAGGACTTCTTTCGTCAGCAAAAAACAGCAAGTGAAATCCAGTTGAAAGTCAAGTTTACACTCAACACCGGTATATATCAACGTATGGTGTTTACAAACATCGCATTACATTTCATTAAATGATTTCTTAGTTACTGATGTAAAACAATTTTTATAGAGCAAACACTGTTGTTGAAAAAATTGAGTCATTAATCATATTTCCTCCTTTTCAGAAATTTAATTAAACATAATAAAAGGAAATTCAAATTCGCGATCGAAGCACTGTGTTCAAGACAGTAACAAGAAATGTATCCAAGCAGAGCTGACATTTTGTCTTCTAAGATTGATATATATATAATGTATATATAATGGATTAATATAAAAACATTATATTTTCGATAACCATTTCATTTTTATATTAAAGTTATTACCTTCAGTACAACAATACGTAAATCGCCAAATATTGGTACAGCATCCATTTTGTCATATTGATTTAAATAATGTCGATAACTACAATTCGATTTAGCACACATTCCACATTCCAACAAAATAGGACATATTTGCTGACCATAATAATTCCTACTTTTATGGATTTCTTTTAATGTGAGCTCTGTAACATTCAAAATCTCTGTACTGATGTTACATCCATGCATCTGCATAATTTCAACTAAGCGCACAATTTCTTCCTTAGTGTTCTCATCTAATAAAATCAATGATCTTGTCTCCTTCTCAAATGAAGTGCGAGCAAAACTGCCTTCAATAAAGTTATGGAATGATTTGAGCATTGTTGCAAACCGATTCGTAAAAGCTACCCATGTTGAGGGCAACGAGTAGTGTATAAGTGTTTGAACATTCTGCAACTTCGATAATTCGCTTAGTGTTATATCAGTGCAAACGAGCACTTGTGAATATGAGTTCTGCAAATAAAAATATATTAACTAATAACAAATATTTTTAAGCTAATTACTTACCATTGATATCCATTCGGAAACCAAATTAAGTATGTTTATTGAAGAGTTTTTGTTAAATCCTATAGCAATGCATCCGCAGTTCTTGAGTGAGTTTGCTACATACTCAACATCTTCTTCACTATCACAAACGATTAAAGTCCGATTAACGCTGCTGCTATTCGACTCCAAATATTTGAGAATAGACTTTATTTTCATTTCAGACGAATGTAATTTCATTGTGATATTAGTTTTGGCATAAAATGCCGCTTCAAACAAGTCACCAAATAAAAGTAACATCTCATTTGAACGTTTCAAAAGACTAATCAGTTGATGAGTCCACACACAAGATGTTATAACAATTTGTAGGACTTCCTTTTTAGCTATGCTTAAAACTTTCTTGACAACGAATTCAACATCGTTATTGGAATTGTTTATCATTTCGTCAATACCATCAACAACAAAATGACACAATCTATTTGAATCAAATAGCGCAGCTTTCTGATGATCCTCCAATAAACACTTTAAACTTGCTGGTGTGGTCACTAAAATACCACAACCATTTAATAGTTGCATTTTTACTGCGCTATGATCTCGTGCCCCAAAACAAGGAACACAAATTGATTTTAGATTTGTAGTTTGCAATAATATGTTAAAATATTTGCATATCATTTCGATGTCTGATGATTTTGATAACAAGACAATAGCCAATGGACCCAACGAACTCAACACACGGCCGGTTTCTATTCTATATCGTATAAGCTGGCAAATAGCTGGTAAATAACACCAAGTTTTACCAGTCTTTGGTGAATTTATAATACAGATGGAGTTACCACGCAGCAGATGTGGCCAAGCATATGATTGGGAAGGATAAACTTTATTAAAATGTAAATTTAGCATTCCATCTGAAATATCTTTATAAAAGCTCATATCCTTCAATTTCTCTAAGGAAATGCAATCAGTTTTTGAGTGTGCCAATATTAGATTATTTGGCTTGATGGAGCGCATATTATATAGGCAAATATCTGTATCACCAGAACTTGGTTTTTGTTCATTACTTGTATCTTTTGTAAGAGACTGAGTAATGGAGTTCTTTAAGCTTATTAATTTATCAACTGCTCTCTGATAGATTGACGGTTCTGCTACTTTAGTGTTGCTTACTGAATTGGGGTTTGCGGGACGTAAACTTCGTATATCTGAAGTTCTAAAACATTCTGAACTTATTTCAGAAGACATTTTTAAACGGCTTATCTCACTATATTGAGCATCTGCAGACTGGAGTATTTTATCTATTTTTTCTAAACACTTTGATGGCTCTGGTAATATACGTTTCCTTCTCATAACTCGTGGTGCCCGTTCATTGTCAATCATTGGCCTGTGTGCACTAAACATATTGTGTACATAAAATAAGATTAATAAATATCATTCCATAATAAAATTTATATTTAATATACATATATGTATATATCTTTAACTAAAAGCGGAAAATAATAATTTAGATGTTAACTATTGGACTGAAAAAAGCATTGGATATTTTTCTGATCACTTGAAAGTATCTAAACTTATTTTATTATAAAGCCCAGTAATGTATCTAAATAATCTTTTTTTTTGACAGATAGCAGGTAAGCTTATAATTTATATTGAGCTTTTTCCGAGTTAACGCATCTGGGCACTTTTACTCTTTATAAGCTGGGGTGAGTTTTCCATCTCACTGACTAATTTATATATTCCTCATAAGTTTCGTGATTATTCAATGACTGATCTAAGATCTGCGTATCGCTCCGTGCGGTTACTGATTACTCTGAGATTAGATAGTGCTAAGTAGGGTAGCCTGTTTGTTATAAACGTCATATCAAGGCAAATATGAGAGAAATTTTAGGAATAACTCGGCATTATTTTTAACTAAGATGGAAGGTAGACACATATCGGGTAACTGCAGAGCAAACGAATTGTCCAAAGCAAAGACGCTTTAGCAACAACTAAAATGCAATTAAAAATAAATATCTGAACATAGCAAAGCGTGGATAATTGAAAACTACTTGGTTCAAATTAGACAAAAATGCGCCAATGTCTGCTACATTTAAAGTGGATTTACGCCTCCGAAACATTTCATGGATCAAATTGTGATCAGCGAATCGCTACTTCAACCCAATGATATCGATCCACTTTTGAAGTGTGTAGTAGCAAATTTCGAAAACTAAATCACATATGAAAACGATGTTGATCGCAAAAATATAAAGTTCAAAAAACCGATTCAATGCCTATATTAGCCTTAATAAGGTATATATTACTGTATGTTTGGTTGAGTAGTCTCATATTTCCTGAGGTACTAATCAGCTGTTCAAATCAAATATTTGTTTCGATTGTCAACTGTTAGAGCCGTTGCCTTTCACCACGACAAAGTTAGACAAAGTGTATGTATTACATGATCCACCAAAAGTTTAGAGCCTAATGTCTTGACACTGATCCACAAATTTATCTTCTCTTCCGAATTCTGCAATGATTTTTTACTCGATAAAATGGACTTTAAAAAGGGTCCCTTGGGAATAGTTGTGCAAGTTGTGTAAAAATAAATTCCCGGAATTTAACAATAAATATAAATCAAAATTTTTTTTATAATTTTCAACTAAAAAGCAATAGTGTTCCAAATTTAATGATGAAAAAGTAATTGAAATACGTATATACATACCTTCTAAGTGCGTTAATATTTGAGGAATTTCTTATAGGCGGCAATGTTTTCATTTGTGATAGACTAAAATAATAATTATTACACTTAAATGCGTTTTATAAAATTAAAACTTTTCTTACCTTCCTGTGGCACTTAGTGAGTTATTGTTGCTATTATAAGTCACATTTAATGAATCGGGCAATTTCGTTGTAATATCATTAGATGATGTATTGCAAACTGAATTTGCCGATGGTATGTGACTGCCAGGTTTATTTAATTCATTTTGCTGGTTTCTTTTATAATATAATTCAACCTGTTCACTTACTGGCAAGCTATAAAGAAAATTTCATAGTTATTTATTACAGTAAGCAAGTATTCCTTCTTTTACCTTAGATTAGTATTGGAATTAATTTTAATATCTTTTTTTGGGAGCTGTATATCTTTATTATGTATATCTTTGACAAACATTTCTTCTTGTTTTGAATGATTGGTATTTAAGGATATAGCTGATGTAGCTTTCTGATCATATGTTGGCTTAAAGGAAGATGGATCATTCGATTGTGTGTGACTCTTAGTTTTATTAAATTCTATTTCCTGATTTCTTTTATAAAATAAATCCACTTGTTCATTTATTGGTAAACTATAAAGAAAAATTCAATTATATAATAAATAATACAAACATTCCTCTTTTTACCTTTGAGTAGCATTGGAATTAGTATGTATATCTTTTTTCGGGCGCTGTGTATTTCTATTATGTATATCTTTGACAAACATATCTTCTTGTTGGTTTGCATAGTTGGCTGATGTAGCTTTCCGATCATATGTTGGCTTAAAGGAAGATGGATCATTCGATTGTGTGTGGTTTTGAGTTTTATTAAATTCTATTTCCTGATTTCTTTTATGATATAAATCCACTTGTTCATTTATTGATAAGCTATAAAGAAAAACTCAGTTATATAATAAATAATACAAACATTCCTCTTTTTACCTTTGAGTAGCATTGGAATTACTATGTATATCTTTTTTCGGGTGCTGTGCATTTCTATTATGTATATCCTTGACAAACATTTCTTCTTGTTGGTTTGAATAGTTGGCTGATGTAGCTTTCTGATCATATGATGATTTAAAGGAAAATGGATCATTCGATTGTGTGTGACTCTTAGTTTTATTAAATTCTATTTCCTGATTTCTTTTATGATATAAATCCACTTGTTCATTTATTGGTAAACTATAAAGAAAAATTCAGTTATATAATAAATAATACAAACATTCCTCTTTTTACCTTTGAGTAGCATTGGAATTACTATGTATATCTTTTTTCGGGCGCTGTGTATTTCTATTATGTATATCTTTGACAAACATATCTTCTTGTTGGTTTGCATAGTTGGCTGATGTAGCTTTCTGATCATATGATGATTTAAAGGAAAATGGATCATTCGATTGTGTGTGGCTCTGAGTTTTATTAAATTCTATTTCCTGATTTCTTTTATGATATAAATCCACTTGTTCATTTATTGGTAAGCTATAAAGAAAAATTCAGTTATATAATAAATAATACAAACATTCCTCTTTTTACCTTTGAGTAGCATTGGAATTAGTATGTATATCTTTTTTCGGGCGCTGTGCGTCTCTATTATGTATATCTTTGACAAACATATCTTCTTGTTGGTTTGCATAGTTGGCTGATGTAGCTTTCTGATCATATGATGATTTAAAGGAGAATGGATCATTCGATTGTGTGTGGCTCTGAGTTTTATTAAATTCTATTTCCTGATTTCTTTTATGATATAAATCCACTTGTTCATTTATTTGTAAACTATAAAGAAAAATTCAGTTATATAATAAATAATACAAACATTCCTCTTTTTACCTTTGAGTAGCATTGGAATTAGTATGTATATCTTTTTTCGGGCGCTGTGCATTTCTATTATGTATATCTTTGACAAACATATCTTCTTGTTGGTTTGCATAGTTGGCTGATGTAGCTTTCTGATCATATGTTGGCTTAAAGGAAAATGGATCATTCGATTGTGAGTGACTCTTAATTTTATTAAATTCTATTTCCTGATTTCTTTTATGATATAAATCCACTTGTTCATTTATTGGTAAGCTATAAAGAAAAATTCAGTTATATAATAAATAATACAAACATTCCTCTTTTTACCTTTGAGTAGGTGTGGAATTACTAGGTACATCTATTTTCTGGCGCTGTGTATTTCTATTATGTATATCTTTGACAAACATATCTTCTTGTTGGTTTGCATAGTTGGCTGATGCAGCTTTCTGATCATATGTTGGCTTAAAGGAAGATGGATCATTCGATTGTGTGCAACTCTTAGTTTTATTAAATTCTATTTCGTGATTTCTTTTATGATATAAATCCACTTGTTCATTTATTGGTAAGCTATAAAGAAAAATTCAGTTATATAATAAATAATACAAACATTCCTCTTTTTACCTTTGAGTAGGTGTGGAATTACTAGGTACATCTATTTTCTGGCGCTGTGTATTTCTATTATGTATATCTTTGACAAACATATCTTCTTGTTGGTTTGCATAGTTGGCTGATGCAGCTTTCTGATCATATGTTGGCTTAAAGGAAGATGGATCATTCGATTGTGTGCAACTCTTAGTTTTATTAAATTCTATTTCGTGATTTCTTTTATGATATAAATCCACTTGTTCATTTATTGGTAAGCTATAAAGAAAAATTCAGTTATATAATAAATAATACAAACATTCCTCTTTTACCTTTGAGTAGCATTGGAATTACTATTTATATCTTTTTTCGGGCGCTGTGCATTTCTATTATGTATATCCTTGACAAACATTTCTTCTTGTTGGTTTGAATAGTTGGCTGATGTAGCTTTCTGATCATATGTTGGCTTAAAGGAAGATGGATCATTCGATTGTGTGTGGCTCTGAGTTTTATTAAATTCTATTTCCTGATTTCTTTTATGATATAAATCCACTTGTTCATTTATTGGTAAACTATAAAGAAAAATTCAATTATATAATAAATAATACAAACATTTCTCTTTTTACCTTTGAGTACCATTGGAATTAGTATGTATATCTTTTTTCGGGCGCTGTGCATCTCTATTATGTATATCTTTGACAAACATTTTTTCTTGTTGGCTTAAACAGTTGGTATTTAAGGATATAGCTGATGTAGCTTTCTCATCATATGGTGACCTATTGGAAGATAAATCATTTCCTTCCAGTTTTGTTAAATCTTTTCCCTGATTTCTGTTATAATATAAATCCACTTGTTTATTTGTTGTTAAACTAAAAAGAAAAATTCAGTTATTTAATAAATAATGAAAATATTTTCATTTCTACCTTTGAGTAGTATTGGAGTTAGTTTTTGTATTTGGTTTATTGGTGAACATTTGCTCACTTCCATTATATGTATTTTCAACACACATTTTTTGTTGCTCGTTAAACACGTTGGTATTTGAATGCGTCAATGTTGCGTTTTTATTATCATTTAATGGGTTATTAGAATCGCGATTAGTCGACGACATGTATTGGTCATCTTTTGTGAAATGGGTTTCAACAGTTCTTTTGTAATATAACTCAATTTGTTGTGTTAATCGCGAACTACAAAGAAGATTCACAATTTTATTATATAATAGAAAAGAAACTCTTCAATTTATGAAAGGAAAACCTTTTTTTTACCTTCGAGTAGTATTGAGGCTATTTATTGCAATCGTTTTTCTGATTGGCTTATTCTGTTCATCTGTTGATAATTGTGTATTTGTGCTGCGTTCATCAGTTTTGGGCAACATTTTTAGTTGTTCATTGGATTGATTAGTACTCAAATTCAAGTTGGTTGGTGCTGCATTTTTTGCCGCATTATTAGGTCGTTTTATTTTGCCGAATTGATTTATATTTCCATCGCTTTTTGGTAAACTATTAAAAATTTTCGTGTTAAATATAAATTACTAAACAAATATATTTTCTTCTTTACCTTAAAGTTGTATTGGAATAAGTTTTTGCATTTGATTTATTGATTGGACTTTTCTGTTTGATTATAGGCTGTTGCAAAGCATTATTAGTGCGATAGTCTAGAATTACTTTTGGTTCCTCGTTGCATATATTAGTGTTTGAGGGCGTCACGGATTTATCCCTTTTTGCCTTTTTCTTCTTCCTTTTATTTTTGTTCTTTTTTCCTGCAGTTACATGCAATTGATTATTAGTAGCATCAGATACTTTATTTTCTGAAGCTAAATTATTTCCATATTCTTGTTTAGTTGCTGATGGAATAAAGTTCTGTTCCAATCGTTCATATTGTGGCCCAGAGGCCATTGAGCCTGAAAAAGCATCAAAAAACCTGGAAACGTTTGGATTTACCGGCAAACTATAATTAAACTTTATTTTATTTACTTGCAAAGTAATTACATATGACTATACCTTTTGCAAATATTTGCACCATTTCTGCTTGTATCTGAAGTCCCTCTTCCTGTTTCGGTTATGGACAGCTTCGTGTCGGTATTTGTTGTAACTACGGCACGTTGGCACGCTACATTACTGAGTTCAGCATCCGTCCGCCTGGTACCGTAAGCATTATCTAAATATCGTTGTGCCTAAGTCGTAGAGTAAAAAAATTAATGAAGCCAAAAAAAAAGGTAAATAAGTTTTTGCATCAATCACGTGCCTTTTCTTTATTTATTAGAATCTGTTGTAAAATTAATATTGCATATATATATAAAAACAAATACCTTAATGAATGCGCTTCGTTTACGCAGTATATTTAAAACTGCTTCATGCTCACTATCACTATCATCTCCCATTTTCCAAAAGCAACGCGTAAATAATACGTTTTAAAAGAAATATTTTATTTAACAGTAATGCGTTCTCCGAAATTTAAAAATGAAGCTAATTATTTGAAAGCTCTTATCATTTTTACTACCACATTATTACTAAATGAATGATTTACTATTTATTTATAATGAAACCAAAAACTTTTTAATCATTTATGTGAATTAATTGCGCCGAATTATATCGAAACAACCGCTTCGGTATGAAATTACAGATCCTTGTATGCTTTCCTAAATCAGGGTTGCTCTAGAAAAGAAGTGTGAATGTTAAAAAGATAGTTAATGCGCAACTCACACACAAAAAATGTTTGCAAAATAGTTTAACATTACTTTTTTTCCGGTAGGTGAAGAACTTGAAAAGCGACAGTGTGAGAATTGTATCTCTTTATTTTAATCAATTTATATAATGGTTCTGTTCCACGACCAACTCGTAGTAAAATTCAAGTAAAACACCACTAATAGCATTCACAGGCGGAAACTAAATTATCATTAAGGGGCTAAATTATAATTTATTTGCTCATTTAGTAGATTTAAATGATCATTTATGGTCTTTAAATGACCGAATTTAATTTAATTAATTTCTCATTTAGGTGTTTAGAAATGGTAATGCTGCATATGCAAGTGAAACGAAATAAAAATTAAAAAAAATTTCAAGCGGTTATTTGGTTGTCAAAGTGTAAACAATACAGATTTGCGAAAATGTTCTCCTGCTATGAATTTAGTTTCCATAGTAAAAAGTTTATTTATAGCTTCTTTATTTTTTTTACTTTCAGTAATAACATTTTTTCTTTCATTTTTCTTGCTTATCGATTTTGAATTCAAAATTCTCTCGCTTTTTCAATAACAAAAAACATATGATACAGCAGCTTCTTAATGATAATTTATACCGTCTATCAGGGTATTTTGAAAATAATCATTTAAGGCTACTTAATAATAATCAAACGCACTCGTCTGTCAATGATATAAAGTACAAACTGAGAGCGTAACACAAATAAAATAACAATTACGCTCTTTACAGAGATTTTCATGGAACAGCTTTGTGTAAAGTCTGGTGAGAACACCAGTGGCGGGCTGCTAAGAACAAAAATTTAAATTCAAATCAAAACAATTGATTCACATTTTATTTTACTTGAAATAAAATGTACGAGTAAAGTCTGTTAAACATTTTCAAATTTCGACAGGGATATTACGCGCTTTCAGAATCTTTCATTTACTTGAAAATTTGCTGGTGGAACGCACTTGTGTTACTCGAAGTTACTACAAGTAGCTCCTGGAACAGACCTATTATTAAGTGAAGTTTATAAAATTTCTATCAGTTGCATAAATGAGCTCATTTTAATGTGAACGTTTACACATTAATATAAATGAGCAAGTAACTAAATGGACAGTGTGAATGTACTATTATTCGCATTCAGACAACATTAATATATATATGAAATATTTATTATGACGATATTACGAACCATTCAATTGTATAAATGCTGTGTTTATTTAAATAACTACAATACAATTTAACACAAAACCGTTCATGTCATCACGTAATGCGTCATCACGTTACATATGTTTACTTTCAAAATTCGTGTACGGGCTGCTTTGGTAAATGTCATAATACAGAAAACACCTCTTTTAATGTTCTTTGCTCAGAAACGTGACAGTTTGGTTAATGCGGTTTTGTTGACTTACAGAATCAACTGGACGAAGTAAATAGCGTAGAACATTCCTTTAACTGCATTTAAGTGAATAAAATTAAAACTAGCAAAATGACAAGTAAAAATGAAACGCACAACGCTGAGAAACAACAGCCAATTTTTCGGGATATAAATCCAGATGATCCAGATCAGGAAACAACTGTTATAGAATCAGCTTGTATGAATTGCTTTAAAACGGGATCTACCAGGTTATTGCTAACGAAAATACCATTTTATAAAGAAGTGGTGTTAATGTCATTTAAATGCGAATATTGTGGTTTCGAAAATAATGAGATTCAATCAGCTTCAGAGATTCAAGTAACAATACTTATAGTCGTCACGTAAAACTTTTCTAATACTGATAACTCATATATCATATGCATTTTTTTTAGGATAAAGGAGTAAAAATTGAGTTAAACATAACGGACGCTGCTGATTTGAATCGACGTATTGTACGGTCAGATTACACTTCTGTTCAAATACCAGAAGTGGAGCTCGAGATTCCAGCACAATCACAAAAAGGCGAAATAACGACTGTAGAAGGAATTATTGACCGTACTATTAGAGGTCTATCACAAGATCAGGACAAACGACGTGTCGAACATCCTGAGGATGCTGCAAATATTGATGCTTACATATTAAGACTAAGTGAAATTAAAGAGCATAAAAAGCCATTCACGTTGCTTATAGAAGACGTGAGTGGCAATAGTTTTATAGAAAATCCATTAGCCCCAAAACTGGATACTAATTGTAAAACAGCACATTTTAAACGTACTACAGAACAGAATCATATTTTAGGTACTTGTAGTATTGCTTATAGTAAAATTTTAAAATGTAACTGTGTTTTTTTCATAGGTTTGTATGAAGAAAACGATCTATCAAGCGGAGAAAATTTGATTAACACAAATGCAGTTGCTGAGAAGCACTTACTGAAACCGATTGCGGAAGGTTCTTGGCCAATTGAAGAGTTACATGGCGAAGTTTTACAATTTCAAACTCACTGTCACCAATGCAGATCGGAATGTGAAACTAATATGAAATTAACTAATATACCACATTTTAAAGAAGTAGTAATAATGGCGACTGTTTGTGATGTTTGCGGTTGCAAAACCAACGAAGTTAAGTCTGGTGGTGGTATTGAAGATAGGGGTATACGTTTTGAAACTCGTATTGTTACTAAGGAAGACTTAACAAGAGATGTATTGAAGTCAGAAACTTGCAGTCTTTCCATTCCGGAACTGGAATGCGAAGTAGGACCATCTGCGCTTGGAGGTCGCTTTACAACTATAGAAGGCATTTTAGTTGCTATGAAAGAACAGTTAAATGGTGACGGCATTATGTTTGATGACTCTTCCGATGAAGCAGCAAAGCAGCGTTTTAATTCATTTTTAAAAAAATTTGATGATGTATTATCTTTGAAAGAAGTGTGTACGCTAATTTTAGATGACCCTGCCGGTAACAGTTATGTGCAATCACTTCGTGATGATGATGAGCCTGATGATAATTTAAAGATAACTAAATACGAAAGAACATTTGAACAAAATGAAGAATTGGGATTAAATGATATAAAAACAGAAAATTACTAAAAGAATATCTAAAATCGATGTTAGTTATTAGAAGTCAATGTCTGAATTTTAAAAAATATATATTAATGTATTTAACAATATACTAGAGAAAATATACAACTTTGAGGAAAACATATTTGGTGTTCTATTATCTTACAAAATATGGTTTAAAGAGGTTTTTTCGAACAGTAGTGAACTACAGCAACAAAAATTTATTTTTATATTATTTTAATTAATTGCATTTTTGGCTGACCATACAGCTGTTTCGAGTATTGCCAAATACCCATCATCAGTGGTCTTGGAAATAATTGTATTTAATTATTCGTAAATAACTACTTTTTGAGACTGCAAGTACCAGGAATCGAATATATATTGTTTTGTAAGTATTTTTTCAATTCCCCCTAATTTGTGGACGCCGTTCATAAAATGGTTCTTAGTTAAAAATTATTTTAAATTTGTAACGTAAACTGCAACTTTGCAAATCTCTTAAAAATATTTTACTCCAAATTGTGAAGAAGCGCAGATCATCAACAAAGAGCCAAATTATAGACATAGATTAATGTTGGAAATGTTACATATAATTGATATTCCGGACTACAAAAAAAACAAAGAGGTATATGGTTAATCATAGAAGACTTAACATATAACTTAACTTATAATTAATAAATTTAAAATCAAATTCTCTCTTCCATTGTTTGTTCAATTAATTTTGTTTTGTAATTTTAATTGTTTTTCTAATTTTTGTGTTTGCTTTTGACTTTATAAATTTAAATATTAAAAATGTTTGTCATGTTTGGTTTTTTGTTTTGATATATGTTTATACTTTTATTTACATTTGTTTTAAATAATTTCTCTTTTTTTTTTTGCTTAGGTACACTGAAGATGATTTGCGAAATAGACTGAAAATCTTCACTGTAAATATTTTATATAAAAAAATATTTAATATATAAGTAAAAATATTTAACACAAATTAATAAGGGTAATAATATCCTTATTATTAAATCATTTAAATAAACTACTTTAGACTAGCGAAAATTAAAAAACTTAAAATTACAAACACAATTTTTTATTTATTTAATGTTAAGATTAATAATAGCAAAAAAAAATTCATAATATAAATATTTAATTTCAAATATTACAATTTTGGCCTAATATGACCAATTTTAATCATTTTAGACCAATATATTGATTTTCAACAAATAACTTGCAAAATTTTTGGGTAATGTCATATGGCAACTCTGCAAACATCTGTTGTGAATAATTGACTGCTGTCATATTTGACGTTTTAGTTTAGTACTGTTTTTAAGACGTTGTGTAACCTTTTTGGCATTAAAAGTAAACAGGATTCCAATTAAAATTAAATCTAACGCTTAACATATCTATTTTTAGTTTTAAATATGTCTACGGTAGGCCCCCGGGGAATACAAAGTTTATTCAAACGTGCATGGAACGAGATTCCTGATGTCGTAGGCGGTACAGTGCACGCACTTATTGGATTAGCTCTGACTGGTATAGGATTGGCAAAATATTATGGAGGCGATGGCGATAATCGTAAATACAAAATGGCCTATGTTGTAATGCGTCCTGATGATCCACGTGCAGCAAAAGTGCATAAAGATTAGTACATAGAAAATGAATAAACGAATTCAAAAAAAAAACCGATAATATAAGTACATGTATCATATATTAAAATAAATACTAAATTTAATATTTATTGTATGTACAACATATATTGCAATAATAATTTTTATTAAAAACGGCACGTGCCTATGAGCGAGTATACTTTTTATATATAATGCTCTGAAGAATTGATTTGCAATCATAACATATTTATGAACTGTCTTGATGTAGTATACTTTCTACCTTAATGGGTATTGGTTCCAGTTTTAAAGTAGAAGATAACAAGATTAATTATCTTGTATAAAACTAAATTTTACTACAGTGCAAGTCCCAATTCTAAATAATATAAAGAAAATATTGTAAATTAGCTATAAAACGTGTAACTATGGACGACTGTATTCCTATAACCAACCTGAAATTGTTTTAAGACCATAATTCGCTGGATTTCAATAAATTAAGTAAAAATTTATAACAATGGATATGTATATCTGAAACTGTTAAAAAAAACTGAAACGTTAATAATACTGTGCCCTTAGTCTAAAAAATTAGGCTACACTTGAAGTACATTCGTTTTTTCTCATACCAGATAGCAAATATAAACTATTTTGTTCTCGTTATTAAAAGGAGAAAAGATCCAAAATTAATTTATTTTGTTTGCTTTGATCTTTAAATTGAGTAGTTCATCTTTACTATTTAAACATCTAGAGATGTGCAAAACTTCTGTTAGATTTTTCACATTAAGTAATAGGACTAAAAAAATTTAATATAAATATCTGATATTGTTACTATTATTTGCTTTGTTTTATACTATTATCTAGAACATAATTATTTTCTTAAAACGTATAAATTTATAACTACTGACTGATTTATAATAAATTCTTTGTTTATATTTACTTTCGAATGTGTCAAATTCTTATAATTTCCCATAGGGAAATTTAATTAGTTAAGGTTGTATTTAGTTTTGGACATAAAATTGTACATAAAATATGCGCACAATTCAGTACAATAATGTTCAATTTGAAAATTCAATAGTTGGTTTTTAAAACCTTGATGCATTGTTTATTTACAATTAAGCAATATACAGTATATATTTGAGTATTTTTACATAAACAGCTCTTCCGCAATGAATATAATTTACAAAAAATGGATGTCAGGAAAATATTGTTAGAAAACAATTTCATGCATATCTCGCTAATACTATGTTCGACACACCTTAATATCACAAAAATCTAAATTTCATCTTCGTTTCAACGAAATTAAGTTGCTTTTTCTATACAAATTTCAGTTTTGAGGTTAGAACAATATTAAGGAAATTGGACTTAATTAGGTCGAAATGAAGGCTGAAATAAGGGACATTTCGAATGCAACTATGCGTAAGATAAATTTTAATCAAAATATAAAGTTGAGATAACGAAAAAGGAACATTTTTTTTTAAAAAAATGTCAACAGTTGAGTTTAATAAAACAGGGAAATATTTTGACAGTAGTGCAAAACTTTAAATTTGAATATAGAGAAAGAACTGTGACTGTTGTTAATTTAAAATAAAGTGAAATATAATTCACATACCTGAAATCCACTAAAGCTAATAAAACTACTGAATGCCATACTTTATAGTTATAATAATCAACTTTTAAAATTTCCCAGATACATATGATGTTTGAAGCATATAATTTTTAACATTCGATTGTTAAACAAAAATGTATGATTTCCTTAATTTGGGGGCAGTAGGAACACTTTCGCAATTAACTTAATTTCATTTCTAATTAAATTATTCGCTTCCTTTTAATTTCTCACGGAAAACATTAATGTACGCATAATATACTAAAGGGAATATAAAAATATGTGTCAATTGATGTTCATTACCAATAATTTTTTTTAAATTATTATACTTACTTATATTGTTAACTAATATATATATACAATTTATACTTCTTCCTTTTTTAAGGATTAATTTCATTTTTTACTATTACTTAATTTATTTAACTACCGGTTAAGATGATTACAGTATATACTAAAAAAATAGATGTAACGGCACATAGTCCGTGCTGTTTCAAATCGGTTTACAGCCCTGAAAAAAAAAATGTAGTGCAACATGTAACATGTCAAATTTCCATAAATTCAATTGTATTTATATTAGTTTACTTGTTTGGTCAAAATTGATCATTTTAAATAAATTGTTTTTATTTTATTTTTAATAGAATAAAATAATGTAAAAAATAAAATTTTATATATACCTGTATATTTTGAACTGAGGTTTGGATAAACGATAATAAGAAATTTACCTATTCACAAATATTTCCCTATTTTAAATTATTCCCTCTTTAATTTTTGGTTTTTACGGGAAAATATTCCGAAGCTACGAGTCCGCCATTTCTCGTTCGTACTTCACGCGTTTGTTTCATCGTGCTTGTTGCAAAGAGAGAATTAATATATTTCTTTAACTTGCTTAAATTAATATAATTTCATTATTATATTTATTCATTTGTTAATCAGTTATTAAGATCGTTAACTAATTAAAAACTTGTATCAAAAGTTTTAGTTTTAAAAGAAAAGCAAGTAGTTGAATATTTGTAAGAAGAATGGCAGAAAGTAAAATTGCTAAAAAAATGTGTTCTTTAAAAGTGCTCATTGTAATGTGTTAGAGTGGGGCAAGACTATACATATAATTAGTGCGAATGTGCAGACAAATAAAAAATAAAAGTAAGGAGACAGCTAGGGACCACGGTTGACTTTTCAATTTTTCTTAATTGTGTATTTCACTTTATATTTTATCAAAAAATTAATTTAAAAAAAGACATTTATTAAAGCCTGATCAGTGCATTGATATTTAAACCAAACCCTTGCCGCAAAACTAATATAATTGGTTATAATCTTAAGAAGCGGGTTCTGTACATTTACGTGAATGTGTGCGTGTATGCTTTGGAATCGTGGCTTGCAAAAATATTGCTAGCAAAATTTGTCCCCCACTACAGCTATAGTCAGACATGTCGGACTACGGATCAAGGATAAATAACTCAACGTGTGCTGGCGACTCTCAAAGCCAGATAAATGCAAGTAGTGAAAATTTAGATGATAGTACTAGTGAACCAGGCAACAACAACGTGAGTGGAGCATTTATTATATTATATATAGTGCTTGATTTGTACAAATCGTAGCAATATAGTTAAAATTTGTAAAATAAAATTGATTTTTAATGAAACTTATTTCAAAGTACATTTTGTATGTATTTAAAATATAATTTATTGCTATATTTTATAATATGTTTCAGTCGATAATTGGAAAAGTAAAATCGCGAGTGTCCAGCATTTTACCTACAAGTTTGTCAAAATGGTTTTCAGCATCAAACAAAAATGATGACAGCTTAAATGGGAGCATTAGCTGTAATAATAATACCAGACGTCGACGTCGTATAGAAATCGAGAGCGATGATGAAATCGAACTTGATATTAATGGGGAAGAGGAGGATGCTGTTACTCGGCACAGAATTTACAATGAAAACGCATCGAATACCCAAAGAAATGAGAACTTTAATGATGAGAGTAATCACAGCGATGAAGACTCATTTACGTATGCGAATTCTAATAGTAGACGAAGGCATATCAAGTCGTCACCAGCAGTGCGTCAACCTCCAAATAAACGTTCAAAACATACTTTGGAAGTAATAATTAATAAAATTTTTATTTGTGTCGATTTTAATATATCTTTATTTTTAGTTGAACAACACGGAAGATCCTACCTTTATTAGTTGTCAGCGTTTAATATCATCCACTCCTGCTATTGGTGTGAATTTGAGAAATGATACAACTTCACCAACTCATTCAAAATTAGTAGATAATCAAAATGTCCATAATAATCCATATGACGCCAAAAATAAATATCAGGATCAGGATCTTTATCTATCTCCTTCTACAAGTAGACAACAGCGTTATCATTCAAACATAATTGGCTACGAATATGAAGTTCCATTACAAAACAGCTCTGGTAATGTGAACACTTACGATATGAAGTAAGTACAATAGTCTGAATTGTTATATATATATGGTTCTAGAACAAACAATTATGTTGTTTTTATGTTTTGTTGTTATTGTTGTCCGTTCGAATCAAGAAAATAAGGTCATTTAAGTGTAATAAAACAGCATAAATGGATCGAAAGAAGTGATAGCAAGGAATTAGGTATGGTAAGGAAGGGCGAGGGAGGAAGTTATATTTAGTAGAATAGTTTGTTTTTGTTGTAATTCTCAAAATAACTAGGTTTTTGTGTTGTTAGTAGTGATTTGAGGCTACTATTGTATTATAATGAATATATATTTGTTATCAACTATTAAAGAAAGTATGTATCACGTTTAAATTCTAATCCAATCATATCGAATTTTATAGAAAAGCAGAAAAGCGTCGTAATCAAATCCTTTTATGACAGATTTCAAGCTAATTTAAAAAAATCCTTCATTTGTTAATAGATCCCTAATAAATACATATCTTTTTTATATAAAACTATGTGTTATTGTTGTTGTAATCCTTGGAGATCTATAAAGTAGAGAACTTGATAGGAGGTTTGTCCTTTTTTTGTAATCTGTGTACTTTCAATGTTCTTAGCTTGCTATTTATAGAAGAGTGGTTCAACAACTCTACATTCAAATGTATCCAAACGTTCTTAAGTAAGTTTAAATATTGTATCAAGCTGTATAGCTAATTAAAATTATTAAATCTTTTATTGAACAAAGATTCTTAAGCTGTTTTAATATCATATCAGCGTGCGTAGTTAAATAAAATTAATGAATTTTCTACTAAATATTAAATTTGTGATTTTCTAAACGATATTAAAGAAATCATTTCTTCTTATAAGTAATATATTATTTTAAATAAACATATGTGAAACATGTTTATATAATTATAAATCAGAAATAAATTTATAAATGATAATAACATAATTTGTTAATCAACAGATCTCGTCGGAGTCTTAACATATCGTCACAAAACACACCTGACCGAATTGCTGGACTATCAAATTATAAACGTCAAAGTTTATCCAACTACAAAAGTGAATTGCCATGTACAAGTTCAGCGATTATAAGTGATAGTAATCAGAACGCATTTCCAAGGCGTACATCTACAACAATAATTGAAAGTGCACCAGAACCTGACATTGAAGAAGAAACTGAAGAAGATACATGTGAAAATGATATTATAAATCACAACAATAATGTGTCATTAACCAATAATAAAAGACAAAATTTAACTAACGGCGAGGCCGGATTTTATGAGCCAAGTACAAGTGCTGCTCGTAGGAGTTCTAGATCAGAAAGTAGTGAAATTGATGGTAGAGGTATTATAAGAGATCAAAGTGATGGTAATGCAAGGCAACATAAAACTGGTCTATATAATATGTCAGCTGGTAATAGTCGCAGCGGTAGTCGCACTTCATCGTTCGGAAATGGCTTGAACTTTTATTCTCATCTTGATGGTCGAAAATCGCTTTTTGCAGGAGCGCATGGAAATCCAGGGAGTTCAATAAATAATTCAACATTATCATTGAATTCACTAAGTCGTAGACAATTTAATGCTTCTATATATGGTAGTACGTCTGCTTTAAGTGATAGTCGCTTGCTTAATACATTTTCGCCATTTTATAAGGGAAGAACCACATACGGTGGAGCTTCAGCATACAATAAACATAAATTAGGTGTTGGCACTGGTGCTGGCGCCAGTTCGGTTCGCATAACACCTACTTTAATACGCCCAACTTCAAGCTTATCAACGTTATCTTCTTCAAGTAATTCTCTTGCCAATCCTGCAGAGAATTCAACTATATCATCTACTGCAAAACGAATTTTAGATCTAATAGAGGAGTTTTCTACGCCAATCAGCGAGGTTAATAAAATGGGTAATAATTTAAGAGCAAATCAGCATCATCTTCTTGCAGCAAAAACGAATCGTTTAAATGACGCAGACATAAATGCCTCAAGAGCGTTAAGATTATCTAAGGTACAAACCCCTTATATGCGTCCTAAAGTAATTCTGGAGCCTAATACCAATACTACCGGATTACCACCAGTTCGCGAATTACAAGTACCTTGTATGTCTCAATTACTGCAAATGCAAAAAATGCAAAACTCGGTTGAACGTTCCCGACAAATTGCAAATCAAAACGCGGCCCAACTTTCAAATCAATCACAGCAGGCAAACACAAATACAAGCACAGCGACATATACTTTGCCAACTGAAACAATCGATTCTGCTGATCGAAAGCAACAAACACATTCAAACAAAATGAAGAATAAAACAAATTTCGCTCGTGTCACAGCCTCTAAAGAAGCGTTTAAACATGATGAAGCACCACCACCTCCTGTAAATTTACAAAACATTGCATTTCCCTTGATGCAATCTGTTCCGAAAATTGATATACAATTAAATATTAAACCATCTTTGCCTCAAATAAGTCAAACAAAAACTGATTTTAAATCAGATAAAAAGAATGCAACCTCTGTTGAAAATATTCGTTCTTCACCAATTAAAGAAAAAGGTGGCGCTGAGAAGGTAATGCCTGTCAGTACTACGATTTCATTACCATCTCCGGTGAGTCGAAGTGTTACAAACATGCACTCTACTTCAATGGAATTTGAATTCTCGGAGCCATTATCACTAAAACAGGTTTGCACACCAAGTCAAAATATAACTGCTATAGATGAAAATTTCAAATTCAGCCCTCCAGCTTTGCTGCAATTACAGCAATTACAGCAATTACAAGAAAAACCGAATGTCACTGTGTTGTCTCGGCCACCTATTGAAAGTCAAAATATACCACAGTTGAAAACAGGATCCGTTTTAGACGCTCTCAAAAAGGATCCTTTTAAAGTACCTAAATCTACCACTAGTGAAGCAGCGAAATATGATCTTAACTTCAATACCAAATTTGCCAAATCTAGTAATGAGTGGGACTGCACTACTTGCTTTGTACGTAATAAAATGGAAAATAGTAGATGTGTGGCTTGTGAAATGCCATATAAAACCACACAACCTAAAGTTCAAACTGAAAATGAGATTATTCCAGCATTTGCGTCTGCGTCAGCGTCAGCGACAGCGTCCTTTGGAAATCAGTTCACAAAATCTTCAGATGAATGGGAGTGTGATACTTGTATGGTACGTAATAAGACACAAAAGAAGAAGTGCATTGCTTGCGAAACACCTAGAAAAGACACTGCTTCAGTGACTTTCGGAGATACATCGTTGATTTCAAAATCACATCAATTTGGTGATGCTTTTAAACCAGCAAGTAGTTCGTGGGAATGCGAAACTTGCCTGATAATCAATAAAAATGAATCTAACGAATGTATTGCTTGTCAAACACAAAAACCTGGATCTGGAGCTAAGAACGCAGTTGCTCAACCCGTAACTTCAGCATTTAAATTCGGATTTTCTAATAACACATCGTTATCGAAGGAAGCATCGAAGACAGGAAGCACATCAAGTATCGCTCCTGATGCAGGTTTTAAGTTGATTGTAGAACAGCAGAAAGCTTCAAAGTGGGAATGTGATGCTTGCATGACGCAAAATGATACATCACGTTCTAAATGTATATGCTGTGAACAAGTAAAACCTGGCTCCGAGCCTCAAATAGAAAATGTTCCAAAGTTTTCATTTGGTGCCTCTCCCAATGCATCGAAGTTTAACTTTGGATTTGGTGCGACAACAAGTGTTTCTACAACAAATACAACAAATAATTTGCTGCAAAGTGAGGGCATAGAATCAAAGTCCACGACAGTTAGCACTGCTGTCGCATCTGCTTCAACTGCACAGAAGACTGATGCGGAGCCAAAAGGTTTCACGCTTGGAAATACAAACATCAGCACAAATAATTCGTTTAGTTTTGGTTTTAAGCCAGTTACCGCTGAAGTGAATAAAGATAAAACTGATAGCAAAGAGAAAACTCTCGATAATAAAGTTGAAGTTGAGAGTTTTAAATTTGGAGCCCCTACCGCAAATACTAGCTCTGGTTTCACGTTTGGTACTTTCTCAACACAAAAGAATAGTGCAGAACCAGCAGCAAATGCTGTTACAAACTCTGCAATTGTTAATGTGCCAAGTACAACAAGCATAGATAATGTCAGTAGTACATCAAATAAAATATTTGCTTCAGTACCATCATTTACATTAACCAGTGTAACGAGTACAAGCACCACTAAATCAAGCGAAGGATTTTCGTTTGGTACTACGAACACAACAGGGGATTCAAACGGGAATAAGACTGCACTCTCCGGTGTTGAGTCGTCTATTAAAAGTTTCTCACCTAGTAGCACAAATAATATTAAATTTGGTGTGCCACCTACAAACACTTCCAATTCGACTGGTAATTCTACTGATGCAGTGTCACAAGGATCAGTGAAACCTTTAATTAATTTCTCGGTGCCAAATACAACGGATACGGTGAATACAGCAGCAGATGCAGCTAAGTCAAGCAATGTTGGTGGTTTTGCTTTTGGATCACCTTTATCTACACCCGCTAGCAGTAATTTAGCAAGTGACTCTTTTAAATCAAATAGTGCCGGTGGTTTTTCATTTGGAGCAAAGCCGGATGTACCACCTACAACGAAATTACAATTTGGTGCTGATGCCAAAAGTGCAATTGGTACCAGCGGCATAAATGCAACAAAGTCTCTTGGTAATCTGTTTGGCTCACCAAGTAGTGCTGCTACTCAACCAAAAACACTGTTTGGTGATGTTCAGACCACAACTTCAAGTCTTGTTTCATCTACTACAACCACACCATCCACACTCAGCAGTACAAAAGTGTTTGGCTCATTTGGAAGTTCGAATGATGCGAATAAGTCAACTAATTTGCCATTATTTGGAAATGATGCGAAGAGCACACCGGAAACAAAGTCATTTATTTTTGGTTCATCTTCATCTGACCTTACAGGAAATAATGCAGCCTCAAGTGCAGTAACAAGCACACAATCAGCATGGCCTAAAAATACGTTCTCTTTTGGTTTAACAGATGCTGCAAATGCTAATACAAAACCCGATCAGTCGGCAAATGTTAGTGCACAACCACCACCAGCTTTTGGAGGATTTGGTATGGCACAAACTGAAACTTCAAATAAAAGTAATTCGATTTTTGGTAATACAAGTGGCACTTCCGTGACGAACCAAACGGCTGTTGCAATTGCTCTAGGAAGCTCCGCATCTACAATGAAGAACATATTTGGAAATAACCCTTCATCAACAACAGCAAGTAATTCCATATCAACAAATATTTTTAGTTCAAATATCAACAAACCTAACGAAACTGCAACAGCTCCTCCTGCTTTTGGAAATACGCTATTTGGCAGTATTGCTGCTCCGCAAAAGTCGACTTTTGGCAGTGCAATAACAACACAGAATACATTTGGTAGTGGTGGCGCAAACCAGAATGCATTCGGTGCTCCTTCAGCTACTAATACACAAAGCTCATTTGGTAGTTTTGGAAATATGCCCACAAATGTAAACCAAACGGATGGTGCTTCGGCAGCCAAAAAATCAGAACCTGCTTTTTCATTTGGAACTTCAACAGCAACAGCAACACAAAGCGCAAGTGTAAGTAGTAAAAAAATGTTCCTTTAGTAAATATTGTAGTTTATTTATAAAATGACTATTTGTTACATTACAGGGAGGATTCAATTTTGGAGCTAATGCAGCAGCTGCGAAACCAGCTTTTAATTTCAACGCATCGAGCCAGCCAACTTTTAATTTCACTGGTGCTGCAGATGTAAGTTATCCATCCATAATGTTTTTTAGCCTCTTTAGTATGTTTAGCCTAAAAATATTAGTTTGTAGATTTAATATGAGAATCTAATTATTTTAAGTTCTTCATGGTTACGTAGTTTTAAAGTAGATATTTTTTACGTTTATATCTCTCTTCTCACTATTTCTATTTAAAAACTTTATTTCCCTTTTTTTATTTCTCATTAAAAAAAATTGTTTGCAACAAAAATTAAAAAAAAAAAAAACTTATCGTGCGATTGGTTCTGATTATATAAAAATGTTCATGTGTGTTTCTGAATGTGTCTTTTGTAAACGTTTTTTAACATCTGGTGCAGTTGCAAGAAGTAAAGCCTTTTCAATTTGGAGCAGCACCATCAGCGCCTATTTTCAATTTTAGTGGTGGCGCTTTAGAGGTAATAAAATAAATTGTTTATTAAACACCGTCAAATACGCATAAAATAAAATATTTTGTTTTGGTTTCGCTTGCAATTTAAAGAATTTCGCATGATCTTGATTTTTATATATACTTAAAAAAAGTTCATTATTCTTTTTGTTATTGCACTAAGCTTTCACCGTGTATATATGTTAATATATATATTACTAACAAATTAGTAAGAATTTGCTATTGTTCTGTTACCTCTATTGCACATCTATTCCAGACGAAGTCCTATTATTATTATAGGGCAATTCACGATCCCGAGTAACAAGCTTGAGAATCGAGTAACATCGTAACATTGTTAAGTGCAAACAACAAAATATACGTACTATATATGTTATTGCTGCTTTGTATTGCTTCATTATGTTATTCTGCTAACGCGCTCGTTACACCACATCGTGAATGTCCGTAATATTTTTTTAATAGTAATAATAACAGACATAAGATCTCAGAAGATGACAAATATTAGATGCTTTCATGTACGATTTCATACGATTTTTTTTTGATATTTTTAGTTTCAAATGAAATATTTTCAAATTCTAAAGAAACTAGCGCTTTGTATTTAAGTGTTTTGTGGCTCTCATATATTTCATTTGAACGGAACTTCTATCAGCTCAATTTCTGCGACAGCCCCGATTACAGCAGGGGCTGTGTCTGCGTTTGGAGCTATGTTGTGTATGTTTTTTTCCAGTACGGAGTATTCACTTAACAATTCTCACACATCCATTGAATATTGGCAGCTATGCATATATTTACAGATGTCAATATTTTGCAACGAGTTACTATGTTATGATGATAAGCTACAAATTTATCATGTTTATTAAACAAGAACAACATCAAAAATAGTCAGATTACGCCCCAGAGCCTTTCATCTACACAGTTGTCCTTATCCCACTCACTACTACCAATCGCGACAATAAAAGTAGGCTTCCCTTAGCATAACCACCCTCTAGGTCTTGATATTATATGTGTTGAAGTAGTCTGCCCAACGGTGACGATACTAATAAAGACATTCGAGCAAATATAGTTCAATATATTGTGCAGCAATTAAGTGTTTTTATTACTTTTGTGTAATACAAATTATATAGTTGCATAATTATTGCGCTAGCGGTGATATGATGATCTGGAGATTTAAAAATTATACCACATCGATGCAGTACCATAACGTATCTGTTAGAAGAAAACTCAATAATTCAGTTTCTGTTGTAAATAATCATTGGTATCATAACTTGAACATAGAAGTTCCGTGGACTTCTCAATGTCGTATTTTCTGTTTCTTATAATTAGTTGAACTAGATATATAAAAATAAACAAGAGTCGCAGTGCTAACTTACAGCACCAAAAAAAAAATGTATATACAAAATATTGTATTATTAAAAATAATATAAAATTAAAAGCAATATAAAATTAAAAATATTATAAAATTAAATATAATACAAAATTTATAAATATAAAAAAATAATATGTAATAAAAAAGTGTTATTAACTGCCATAAAAGTTTATGTAGAAAACATTTGTATTAATATTTATAATGTCAAATGTATTGCGCTCACTGGCTGTATAAACAAACACATTTTTTATTCTTAACAGCTTAACATAAACATAACATAACGAATGTTGAATGTTTTTATTTTATACAAATTAATTTTATAATTAATTTACATTACCTACAGCTGATGTCTATATGTTTAATTTAGATATTTTATTTTTTATTTTTACTTTAAAATCAATGTGAAGTTATTTTATATTATACAATGTGCAACACTATTAATATATACTAAATTATTTGTACAAACGCCCTTATTAGATTTATTTGCTTATAATATCTAAAAAAATATACCATTTTGAGTTTTTTATTTAATTTTTGTATTATATACTCTCTAAACATAGATTATTTAAAGAACAAAAATCAATTTGTTTTACAGGCAGTTCCAAATGCGCCATTCCAGTTCGGTGCCGGTGCGGGTACCGGTGCCGCTGCAACGTCATCCAATAATATATTTGCGTAAGTATGATTGAGATTATAAATATTTTTCAATAAAACTTTTGAAGTAATTTCAATTCTTTTTTAAAGAAACTTTACTTATAAATATATATATTTTTTAATATATATATATATTACTCAAGATTGTTTGAACCAGAGCTTTGAGCTGGAACTGAACCAAAAATAACAAAATTAATTTCAGCAAAGAAAGACAATAATACGAGAACACAGTACATTTTAAAGCTAGTTTTTAGCTATATTTTTAGTATGTAACTTGTTGTTTTTCAGTGACCTCTTTCTTCATGAAATGGACTATAATATTGTCTGTCAATGCTATTAGCAAATAAATGTTCATTAAGTTTCCTGAGGAATATCTCGGGTAATTGTATGGCAGACGAGTTCGCCAAGTCAGGCGCTCTTCTTCTTAACATTCACTTCTCAGATATAGGCGTTCCACTTGTTACAGTTAAACTGGCAATTAAACAAAAATACTTGAACATAGCCAAGCAATAATGTGCTGATGAACCTTATTGTCAGATATCTAGAATGACTTGGTCTAATTTAGACAAGAAATGAACTAGTCAGCTATGGATCTAACCTATAATTATTTTTGTTGGGGTTGTGGCTCTGAGGATGAGGAGGAGACCGTGCTTTATCTTATGTGTCAGTGTTCTTCTTAAGCTAGAAGAAGATTACAAATCTTCAGACTCCTTTTCTCACCGATCTGACTGAGCTGTAATGTTAGGAATCTCGCCAAGTTTATAGAACCGTCAGGTTGGTTTTCCTTTATCTAACGGGGGAGTCGTTACCTTGGCATTGGCTATATATTGATTTAAACCTATGTACGTACCAATGCTATTCCTGTAGTACCATAATGGGACCATCATTTGAGTTCAAGTGGGCTTTTTGGAAACAAGGCCGCCATTCCAACCAACCTACCTACCTACAAATAGATGTTCATATAAGTACTACTTCGTATGCTTTCATTTGTCAATGCTATCAGCAAATAATCATATAAGTATTTAATGATAGAGTATGTTAATGCAATTACTTTTCATGGGATGAAGCCGGTGCTGCACCCTTATGTTCTTTCTAAGCTAATCCATACAAAATCATTGTGGGTTCAAAGCCTTGGTTTAAACTGTAAATGATCAATATTTAAAATGTTCAATACTTTCAAAACAAAAAATTGATATTAAAAATGTTCAATTATATATAATTAATAAAAATATCAATACAAATTATTTTTAAATTAATTAATATAATATAAAAATTCAATTTTTTTTTTTAGGCCAACACCCACAGCTGGTGCACCATTAAATACACAAGTGCGACGTAAAATTCGCACTCCCGCACGTCGCGTACCTCCACGGTAGAATTATTGAGAATTACTAATGCTCCGTTAGGTGCTGACACTAAACTGACAAGACAAATGCGCTTTTAACTAAAAAGCGAACAGAACAATAACAATAACAACAAACCGCAAGACGACACTAAGGACGATTTGAAACTTGAAACTTGAAACTAATAATAAGCAGTTTGGAGTTGCAGTTACAGTTACAGGATAATTATCGAGAACACAGCGGCCCAAGATGAAAGACAGACGATCACGACATGTACATACTACTACATACGTATGGTGAAAACATAAGGAAATGTATTTATAACTAAGAGCAACACAAATGTATTATATATTATACCCATTATACCCAAGTAATAAGTGTTTATATGTCAAGCGAACAAATGCTGAAAAATCACAATTCAAAATATCTTCCAATGTTATGCCTAATAGTACTACCTCAATAGAAAGAATTGTGTATTTCTAAAAGAAAAGAAAGTTTCTTAAAATCTCGAGTCATCAAAATCCAAAAAATTCATTAGAAAGTCAAACTTCTAATATTATTCATAGCATAGCTAATTGTAGGGATATAAAAATATAAATAAATTGTTTTTTTCTGCTTTATGAAGCAACAAACAAATGTTCGACGATATTATTCGTCATTGTTAATTAAGTATGAACGTTAAAGTATCTCCTCTGGATATTCTCTAACACAACACTTTTTATGACTCAATTATAAAAATTTGGTATGTATTTATTCAATTTATTATATAAATAAATTATCAACTGCTTTAAATCGAGGTTATATTTGTTGTTGGCTTCTCTTAGTAAACAAAATTGTAGTTCATATAAATTTTTATGCACCGATATATGATTGATCGTGTCTATATAGAAAGAAATTTACTCAAATTGACATTATTTTAATTATAATTATTAAATAAATATAAATAAAAATAACAACATGCTAATCATTCAGCTTGGTTCATACGAAAATGCATAAATTTGATGTGAGGTACTCCAATCACAAAACTGTAAATTTGAAAGTTAAATATATATTTTTATAATAGACAAATTGTTATTTCAACGTTTCGTATAAGCCAACGCTGTGCAACTTGAACAATTGCTTATATAAATATAAATAATTAAAAAAAAATCAAATCAATAATAAATATAACAAAGCATATAAAAAGTTTGTAAGATTTTGTTACTATTTCCGTATTTAATATATTAAATTGTTTAATAATTTTTTTTTTATTATTATCGTTTCCAATGTAATTTTCTTAGTTAAGTAGGACAGTAACAGTAAAAGGCAATTATTGTAAATAAATTTTAAAAAGCTTCAGATTAAAATAATTTAAGTAGTTTATTTAAGTGAAGAGCAGAAATATATAAATATATCTGCTCTAATATTGTTGTATGTAAAAATTAAAAAAAAAAATTACTAAAAGTGAATAAGTTTCACGCATAAATTTTGTTAATGCTTATTAATTTTTATTTAATTATTGAACTCTATATATCGACCAATTAATTGTATGTAAAAAAAACATGTGTAATTTCAAGTGAAACGGATTGGCTTGGAGAACTATTAAGCTGCAGAAAAACAGAAAAAACCCTCTATGTTACAAATACAAGAATATATTACTTTAAATGAAGATAATGAATAATAAAGAGTATATAGAAAATATTTCAATACACTAATTTAATTGAACAAAATTCTTTCTAGTAAAATACTTAGTTATTATAAAAATGATTACATTATTTTTTTTATTAAGAGCTTTTATCTTTTTTATTTGGAATACACAACTACAACTACAGATAATTTTATTAAATAGGCTTAAAGATTGATGTTAAAACGTTTTAATAAAAAACATATTGAAATATTTTGGTTGTTGATTTATGTAAATAAATATTTCAATTATTTTCTAGTTTTTAAGTTCATAAAATTTAAAATAATTTTAAGTCCATATAAGCAAATGCAAATTAATGTACTATGACAAAATGCATGAATAAACTAAATAAAAACATATAAAAATAGTTTATTAATTTGTAATTTGTAATTTGTCCTGTCCTTCTAATTTATTTAATAAAAGATGAATAAAAAATGTATTTGTAGTAAAAATAGAGCATATATATAATTCGATATGGAATTATGATTGAGCACATACTAAGGGTTTTGAAATTGAATTGATGAGATTAATTTTTTATAATGAAGCATATCCTAATGATCCTAAGTTAGTTGTGGTAGAAGAAGGAATGAGTCCACCTTTGAATCCACAAAACCTCGTAATAGTGGTTAGTAAAGAGAAAGTCAATCTAGACCCAGCCAGAGACGTTAGTAAAGGCAAGAATCTGGCCAATGCTAATGCTACAGATATCGTCAAGTATGCTGAAGAATGAGCCCCCAGAAAGCTAAACCTAGTTCTGCCCAACTTGGATATAGATACATCTGGTGTTCTTTCTTCGAGAGCTGGTAGACACGCATTGCAGGAGATGCCACAGGGTAGGCCAATACAGCAATAATTTTCATATAACTGGAACTTGTATAGTGTCCCATAGAGCTATACTTAGTTGCTTTTATAAAGAAATTTCGTTAAAATTATATCAGTTGCTTAATATTTACGTATTTGTAGCTGTGGATTTTCGTAATATACAAATCAAGATTTCTAAATTTAATTATGGGTTCGTTCGCCAATTCTGCACCGCTGAATTAGAGACAACTTCTATATAGATGTCGTTTGGAAAGATCTTTTGGCTCAATTACCTATGAACCTACAATTTTTTGAAAGTATAAGGACCCACAATTGGTGGTATCAGAAATCAACAAATACGTTCTTTGTCTATGTATAAAAAAATTTTAATTAAATATTTTTGTAATAGTTTTTATTACATTTTTATTAATATTATCTTATATTAATTTTCAAAATGTGTTTTGTTTATAACATGCGCAACTTTAAATAAAAATTAAAAACCTGCATTGCCTGGTGATTTAAATGTATAAGTACCAAACATAAAACAATGTTAGAGCGCGTATAAATAACATTATAACAGACCTGTATATGCTATATACAATATATGTTATAAAGGAACTAAGCCAAGTGAATTTGTTTTGTTCAATGTTAACATATTACGATCAGTATTTGTTGATACAGAATTACACGTTTGTTGTAAATTATTGTTGTCCATTTTGGTCTGTATTGTAATACCAATCGGTGGTGTTACAAGGCCACTGCGGTAATTACTAGGGTTATCATTATCATTTCTGATATTATTATATTTTATTGCAACCGGTGCTGTATAATTGGTGTCCATATCATTGTTTGGCAATGCTTGATTGCTAACTTTTTGTTCACTAATGTATTTATTGTTAGATTTCTTCGAATTCTTAAACAAATTTGATTTGTCCATATGCAGTTGATTCATATGTTTGTTAAGATTTGCCTGTCGTATAAAGCGTCTTTGGCACAAATGACACGAGAATGGTTTATCTCCTGTATGACTTAGCAAATGAGTATTCAAATCTGTTTTACGTGCATATTTTTTATGACAATGAGGACAGGGTATTGTTTTCTCCATATGATTTAAACGAACGTGAGTCGTCATAGAGGAATGCTGTATAAATCTCTTTCCGCATATATTGCATCCATAAGGACGTTCACCTGTATGACGGCGCAAATGACTTTTAAGTGTCGTTGGCCTTAAAAATCGTTCACCACAAAATTTACATTCATATGGACGTTCACCGGTATGTGTTCTTATATGATGCTTTAAAGCATATATAGTTGAATAGGCTTTAGCTAAAATAACAGAATTTTTAAAATAACTCATTGGGAAAGTATAACTGATATACTTACGACAAACAGTACATAAATAATTCTTTTCACCAGTATGCATGACCATATGATATCGCAATTTCGAAGCTGAAATCATAATTTTACCACAAATATTACAGGGGAATAATTTTTTTGACTTTTGTAATTTTTCTTTTGGCTTATTTTTTTGTGTAGTGATTTCATTATTCTCATCCTGCAGCGTATTCGATACTTTTACTGCATCTGCTGAAGCATCAAATGAAGAATTCACTTCTAATACTTTTTTGGTTTTATTCCGTTTTCGTTGGGCACTTGTTGCATTACTTTTGCTACTTTTGGGAATGTGATATTCAATATGTGCTTTCAGCCCAATTTCGGTAAAATAACGCTTATCACAGCTCTTACATTTATATTGTCCTATTTGTTTAATTTAAATACATTTTTATTAAGCATATATTATTAAAAATTTATTTGTTTACCCTGCGGAAATATTTGTGATTGAACAGATTTTGAGAATTCAGCTGCAATATCACTGTAGTGATTTTCATATTCGAACTCGTCCAACTCACTGTCAACATACTTTTGGGTATCATTATCCTGCAATTTGGCTTCCGTTTTACATTCATTATTAGAGTGACTTTCTAATTCTGCAATATTTGCTATAGTGACAGAAACTATTATATTCTAAAATATTTTTAAACGAATACACATACCATTTTCCATCAATGTTTTCAAAGTTATATTGTCTTCTTCATCACCATCAGTACTATGATTGCTAGGATAATCGTTGCATATTAACTCAACTGGATCAGCAAAATCATTTCGTCGATAGTTTTTACTATCATTTGACTAATATTTTATTTTATTTAATTTTTGTAAAATATTTCTCAATTAAGTATATTACCTCATCTGCTGACTCTTCAAGAGGGTCTCTTAAAAGGTTACTTTCGTCGACTTTCAAGAAACTGTTTTGTACATAATGAGGAATTTCTAATTCATCTTTGTTTTCGAATAATTCATTAGAGCTTCTAAGCCTTTTTTGCGTTTCCTTTGCCTTACAGACAAATTTGTAAATTTTATTTAATTCTTTACCGCAATTTTGACAAAGAATCTGTGGTAGGTTATCCCCGACATATGCATCCAATTGTGTGCATTGGTTATAAACGTCTAAGGCCGAGGTATTATCTCCTAAAATATCGCTTAGTAGAATTTGATTCCTAACACATTTTTTAAGGCACACTCGACAATTTTGTAAGTACATATTATTTACAGTAAATATAATTATATTAAAACTTCATTAATGATCAAAACACTCTAAATTAACTGCTGATGTACTAAAACGTATATGACGATATAAAAATGCTTAAAAAAATGCAAATTAGATATATTTAATATCACCAGTAGGACTAACTTATTTTATCTATTACATTTTATAATCCTCAAGATAATTGTTTATTATGTTTATTTAAACTTAAGTAAACAAATAAAGATTAGCAGACAGTTTACAATGTAGAGTTGCCATATTTTTGATTTATTTTCAATTTCATAATTGTTTGAAAAATCTGGAGTAATTTTTTGCGCCCTTTTTTCGTTTTCGTCATTTCATTTTGCGTTCTTTTTTGTGGGTGAAAATATTATTAGAGATTTAAAAGCTAATGATGTCTACAGTTGCTAAAACTAGATAGAGATTACTTCTTGATATTTTTTCAAATTTTTATACTGGCTGTCTATTTTTCCTATTGTGAAAAGTTTGTACAAATTGTTGTGACAAATAATAGCTTTTAAGGGGCATATTTTGATTGCAGTCACGTCACGGCAATTGTTCTCGCTTTCAATACATTATGAAAATTTGACACTAACAACTCGCCGACCTGGTGTAAAAGAACATCAGTGCCGCGCAAATAAACAATACAAAAATTTAAATTCAAACCAAAACAGCTGATTCACAAATTTTATTTGAAATAAAATGTACGAGTAAACTTTGCGTAGCATTTTCAAATTTCGATAGGGATGTTACGCTCTCTCAAATGCTGTAATTTACTCAAAAATTGACTGGTGGAACTCACCTGTATACACAGTGTTAGTTAAAGTTACTACGAGTAGCTCGTGGAACAGATCTAAGGTGTGCTTTTACCGCATACATGTCTGTAGACCAAAATTTGGTATATATCAATATACACAGTGTGATTTGGTAGCACGGCATACTTTGTTTGTATACATTTAGCATCATCTATGTCATGCTTAAGAGTAAATTAAAATCATTTGATTTCTTTGACTTCGGCCGTGTGCGAGTTCGAGTAAATTGATGGTAAATTGAGCGAAATAGTAAATTATGTCGGTATCGCAGCGAATGTTAATATTTACCAGAATTTCGAGTATGGTTAAATTAGATAAAAATTAGGTATTACATTTGTGAAAATTTTATAAGATGTGTAATAAAAAAATAAATAAATTTAAAAACTTTTAACCAAAAATAATAAATAAGTGCAATAAGCAAATAAATAAATATTTACATAAGTGCAGTTCAAAAAATCCCTAGAAAATTTCAATTTACTTTACTTCATTTTATTCGAACTCGCATACGGGGCCTTAATACCTCTTATTATATATGTTTAGATATTAGAATTTATTGTTCTATGGTTAAGCACACTTCCATTTTTCCTATTCTCTTTCCTTCAAATATTTTTTTAAATATTGCAAACACTGCACAATAACAAATCCCATATGTTTTCGCAAAATGATTGATTTGACATTGACTTGACATTTCAACGTTAACTGTTCAGTAAGTTTTTAATTGACGCGATTATTATTAATTTAGTTATTTTTGTACAGTAAATAAAATCTATTGAACACAAAAAGAAGTTCGTTAACTAAATTGCAACGAAAAGAAACTGATCAATCACAAAGCATGTGCGAATAACATACGAATACATACATATTTTTACATATATATATATAACTATATCTTTTTTTCGACAAATTTGCGTGGAACCTTACATAAGTTGAGACGCATCTTGCACTTCCAATCGTGCTAAAAGTGTTTTTTTAGTGTTTAATTGAATAAATTTTGAGAAAAATGCGTTCAAGAAGCAATTCAGGTGTACGCCTGGACTACTACCAGCGCATTGTGCATCGACTGATAATGTCACATCAAGAACCTGTAACAGGTTTGTTTCCTGCCTCAAATGTCAATTCGCATGCATGGATAAGAGATAATGTTTATTGCATATTGGCCGTGTGGGGTCTGTCAATGGCTTATAAAAAAATTGCTGACCAAGATGAAGATCGCGCTAAATGCTATGAATTGGAGCAGAGTTGCGTTAAATTAATGCGTGGTCTTCTAATGGCAATGATGAATCAAAAAGATAAAGTGGAAACATTTAAAATTACACAAAATCCATTGGATTCATTGCATGCCAAATACTCAAGTCGTAATGGACAACCTGTTGTTGGTGACGGGGAATGGGGCCATCTACAAATTGATGCTGTCTCTTTATATTTACTTATACTCGCACAAATGACTGCATCTGGTCTGCAGATTGTATTCTCCTTGGACGAAGTATCTTTCATACAAAATTTGGTATTTTATATTGAGTCAGCGTATTGCATACCAGATTATGGCATATGGGAGCGAGGCGATAAAACCAATCACGGTGAGATTAATTATAATTATATTAAATTAAGTAATTTAATATAAATTATTCTAGTTAATTAATTAGTTGTTTTTTGTTTTGCATTATTATATATACGAATATTTAGCAGAGCTGAAAAATTAGTTATTTTAACCGAAAGAGACTTGCTGGTATTGATTAATTTAATTTAATTTAATTTATTTAATTTATACCGGTACACCCGGCATTACCGTGTACTATCAGTAATATCAGCTATAAAAAATCAATTTAACTTATTTCACTCTTACATCACTCTTACATCTTACATCATTCATATAGTTAATATTATATTCACTTATTTTTATAGGTGAACCTGAGCTTAATGCTAGTTCGATTGGTATGGCTAAAGCTGCTTTGGAAGCAATGAATGAATTGGATTTATTTGGTGCACGTGGCGGACCCGCTAGTGTCATACATGTTCTAGCAGATGAAGCGCATAAATGTCAAGCTGTTTTACAGTCGATGTTGCCACGTGAATCTAATAGTAAGGAGTTGGATTCTGGAATACTGTGTGTTATTGGATTTCCAGCGTTTGCAGTAGATGATCCACAACTAATACATAACACAAAAGATGCAATACTCTCACGTTTGCAAGGAAAATATGGTTGTAAACGTTTCTTGCGTGATGGTTATCGTACCCCGAAAGAGGATCCGTCCCGTTTGTATTATGAACGCTGGGAATTACGCATGTTTGAAAATATAGAATGTGAATGGCCCTTGTTTTATTGTTACTTAATATTGTTTCATGCCTTTCAAAATGATAAAATGGCTGTTAAAAATTACGCTGAACGTTTAGAGGTGATAAAACATTTAATTTTTTTAAACTTTATATATTATTTTGCTATATATTATTTTTATTAAATAATTTTATATGTATTTTAGAGAATAATGGTACGTTCAGATGATGGAATTTTACTAATACCGGAAAGTTATGCGGTACCACAAAATCTAGTAGCTAATGAATATCAACATCCTGGCTCACAATCACGCGAAGTTGTGGGTCGTTGTCCCTTTTTGTGGGGTCAATCATTGTTCATACTTGGCAGACTCTTACAAGAGGTAGTAAATATATTTAGTAATTATGTTTGGTGATTTATTAAATGTTTATTTTTATTAAGGGTTTTTTGGCTGTTGGTGAGTTAGATCCGTTAAATAGACGTTTAGGTGCACAGAAGAAACCCGATGTTGTTGTGCAAGTAGTTATAATTGCTGAGGATAATGAAATACGTGACAAATTAGCTGAGCATGATTTGCATGTACAGACAATTGCAGAGGTAGCACCAATTGAAGTTCAACCTGCGCGAGTGCTTAGTCATTTGTATACTTACTTGGGACGCAATAGAAAACTCGGTTTGACCGGTCGTAAGTCACGCGATGTCGGTATATTAAGTACAAGCAAATTGTATTCGTTGAAAGATAGAATATTCGCTTTTACACCACAGGTAAGTTGTTTGCGTTATATATTAAAATTAATTAGCGTTAGTATAAATAATTTATTTTAATATTTGTTTTTATAATTGATACTTAATTTGTGAAAATTTATTTTATTGAATAATTTATTATTTAAATTAGTTTGTCGACTTGTCACGTTTTTATATCGCATCTGATAACGAATTAATGATTGACATCTTAAAAGGGGAAATAAATTTTCTCAAGTCGGCTTGGGATCTGCTTGGACGTCCTTTAGTGACGTTAGTTTTGAAGAATATCCATTTAGGTCTGTTTTAAAACAAAAAAAAAAGTAAAATGATATATAAAATTTCAATATGTATTTTGCAAGGGATGCGATTTTCTTTGGTTTGTTCTTAACTTAATTACTGTTAATTATAACATTAATTTTGCCCATGTAAAAGCAAGCAATTTATTATTTAAAATTATTTTTGGTATGGAATTTTGTATAGAAAAAATGCAGTAGATTTATTTGGTGATTGGTTTTGGTGAATATGGCTTGCTTTTACATAGTTTTCATTAATATTTTTATTTGTTTAACAATTTTTTTTTGTAGTTGAGTTTGGCTAGTATAAAGAACTTGTAAATAAAACGAATTGCACAGAATAATATACATAAAATATGCACAAATTTATACTGAGCGAGACGTATTTCCTGGTAGATTTTAATAACTGATTAATAAATTTGAATTAGACAAACTAAATTATATTTTTATATTGTTCCAATTGCTATCATTACTGTAAAAATTATCATTTCAATTCGGCACTAAACAGCATATCGACTATGAAGAATACTACACAACACGAGATCCCGACTTGCTAGCTAGCAATTTTACAACAAATTTAGCTTTCCTCACAAATAATTGGCGCCACATGTTAGGAAGGCCGACCATTACTTTAATGGCCACACATTATATGCTAGGTAACTACTATTGCTACCTTCTTACAATGATAATGAGTTGTCCAACAAATCACAAATAAAACAAATTTTAGTTGCAATTGATTTCGATTAAAAATATTGTATATTGTATATATAAAAATTATTCTCATCTCAATTTTTATAAAGTTATATACAAAATTATAATAATAATTATTAAGATTTTTTATTTTTAGCTAGGGAAGGGTATAATCATGTTTATTCTTTTGCATGCTTTTTAAAAATACAAAGTTGATTCTTCATATGTATTTTAATATCATAGTTTATTCAGAAGTAAACATATAAATATATAATTAAAATATTTTAATTATAAAATTGTGAGCGTGAGTTAGAGCGTCTTAGCACGTATGTTGCTAAATAAGCTGAATTCTTTTTAAGTAACGTTGGTTTTTTATAAAAAAATATATTTAGTAAATATATTTTTTTCTTGTTTATTTAATAATATACTATTATTGTACATATAAATATAAAATTGAATATTTAATTTTTTTTTATATGTAATTTTTCTCTAATTAATTGTTTTCATAAAATTTTTTATATATAGTTTATAAATTATAACTTATTAACTACTACATGGGGCACCATGTCATATTATAAAATATCTTATATCTACTTTACTTCTGGGTATCTATAATATTGCTTTGTAGTAAGTACTTCTGAACACTACTTTTTAGTTTGCGAGATTTTTGCAATGCTAGAGCTTTATTTACTAAAATTGATATATCAGTTCTAACGAGAAAATATATAAATTATATTTTACGTAAAAATTCACCCATATTTCATTAATTAAACAGTTTCACAATATCTCTAATATTTGAGCGGTTGTCGTTAGTACCTTTATAACATTTGTCAATAAAACGAATTTAAAAAATAAAAAATAATACAATATATAAATAAAAAAAATTTGTTTAAAAAAAAATTATATAAAAAAAATTATAATTTAAAAATTATAATAACTTATAATAAGTATATATTAGTTTGAAGAATATGGATGAGTAATATATTAAAAGTAACATAATAATATAAAAATAAAATTATTTGTAAAATTTTATATAAGAAATAAAAAAAAGTTTGCAGAAATAAAATAATATAAATATAATAAATTTAATAATATATATCAATTAATAATAATATAACCATAATTTTACAGAAATTATATAAATATAATAAATTTAATAATATATAACAATTAAATATAATGATACTTAGATTTAAAATTAAAAATTTAAAGACCTATAACCATAATAATATAACAACAATTTTACAGATATAATATAAATATAATAAATTAATAATATATATAACAAATAAATATAATAATATTTAGATGTAAAATTAAAAATATAAAGACCTATAATCATATACTTATAACAATATAGTATTATTGTTTCATTTTACATTTTGACTGAACTAACTTTAAAATAAATTAATACCATATAAATATTTATTAATAATATACATAATTTGTTTTTAATTAAAGTTTTCAATGGTTTAGGTCTATTTTTGTCTGTAGTAGCTGATAAACAAAATTATCGCATATACATATAATAACCATTAAACATATTGTCATTTTAAAAAATTTTCCAAAAAGTGCTAATATTTTATTAAACCATTATTTTCACCTTGAAAATGTTAATTTATAATTTTATTATTTATAAAAAAATATTTAAAAGTTTTCGTTAGAATTGGTACCCTCATCACATCATTATCATATTAACATTGTTCTGAGTCTTTCTGTGTGCTTGCTAACTTAACATTAATAGCTAAAATAATTAAATTGTTTTGTGTTAAATAATATTTTAAAATAGATTTTAAAAAATAAATTAAACATATATATATTTCTCAGATCAAGACAAAATACCACTTGCCATGATACAGACAATGCGTAAATTAAAATCTGGTTATATTAATGGCACACGTGTCATGTTGGGAAATTTAAAAGATTTCCTAAATACTTCCGCAATTACGGACTTAAGTTTTCTTGGTAGTACTGAAGACGGTTATCCTGATCGCCTGCATCCGGATGTACAAACTTATTTAGATGAACATTTGTTGCGTTCGTTCAGTCATCGTAACACAATGAATTTACGTGGTGGACAATTACGTCCCCGAAGTCTTAGGAGACGCATGTCATGCAAAGGTGCTATCAAGAAGACACGTTCAATTAATGTGGACTGTAAGTATAAATATTTTGTTTGCAAAACTTATGAAGAAAAGCATAAACAATTTTCGATTTAATCTACACAAAAACATGAAACTAGGTTTTTGAGTCGCTGTTAGGAGAAGTAAATGACACTTGCTTTGGAACAAAGACAAGTGGTTCGGTTTATTCGGTTTTTTTCTTTAAAATTAGTAATAAATTCACGTTAATAACAAACTTAGCTATTTTATATCAAATTTTAATGCACCTCTTAGTTCAGAGACATCAAAATAAACAAGAGTCAAATTGCCAGCTAAAAACAAAAAAAAAAATTAAAACAAAAATAGATAGGAAAACTATATAAGTTTTATATATATATAACTGTATCCAAATTATTGAATAAAAATAAGTAAAAATCTCATAAGAAATCCTTTGTATAAACGCTTTTAATAAAGAAAATAAATATATAAAAAAGTGCTAGCTTATTGCACTAATAACTCGAAATAGAACAAAAAAAAAAAAATTTCTGTAAAAACCATTTGTTTAAAGATTGGCGATATTAATAACATTACATCATTTATTTTAATTTAAATTTTTTGTTCACAGCTGACACCTTGGGTATGGAGGGACCTACACAATTATCAGAGAGGCGTTTATCTTCAATAGTACCACCACCATGGCTTCAAGCTAATAAACAGAATCATATCAGTGTTTTTGCTACGACACCCGAAGAAGGACCGGCAGATCAATCAGAAATCATACGAGAGAACATATATCCCATTGATCCACATCACAACAGAACAGCAATGGAACGCCGCAGTGAGTTTGCTAGACAACAAGAAAGTTAGTAGTGTATAGTCCGCAGTGCAGTTGTGCTGTAGTTTATGTGTTTTATTAAGTTTTTATTTTATTATTTAAAAATATTTTTTTTTTCTTTTGGGTGCTGTTACTTTTATGTTCTTTTTTTGGCGTGAATTACAATCATTGGTTCGATTTTATTTGACGTGTTCAATATAACATAACAATATTATCTATGTTTGTGTTAAAAAAAAATAAATTAGTACAAAATATACCTAAAATTCTCATTCAACGCCATCGCACCGATAATAATTTTGCGGATACAGAGGTTGAGGAGCTGATTGCCATGTTACGTGAGACCGAAAATCTGGAAGAGCAAGGCGATATATTGCAATACCTTGTAGACACACAGGGCTTAGACTTTAATACAGGTAATTTTATATACATATTATACAGTATTTAAATTCTTACTTTGCTAAATTACAATTTAAAAAAAACAATTATGATATAAAACACGAATAAATTGGCATGTATTTCTTAAGCTAAATAATAGTTTATAATGTTTAAGTTTAGTTTTTAATTATAACACATAAACAAAAAAAAACATTAACACATTTAGTACACAATTTGAAATAACATTGCTAAACTAACTTTTTTCAAGTATGGGTTCTGATTTAGATAATCGTTTTAACTCACAAAAAACAAAACAAAGTCCCAATTTATTTAAGATGTTAAAAACAAGCACACGTATATAAATGTTTAATAAGTAGTAAATATATTCTGTCTTAAAAGTATCCAGAATTATCAAAAAAAAAAAGAAGAAAAATAAAATTAACCAATAATCACAATTTATATTGTAGCATAAAGTAGGCCCCATCGACTGCAATACAACAATGTTAGTACTTGACTCAATCCTCCATATATTTTCCGTCAGTTGATTGAGATGTGGCCTTCAATTTTTTTAGGGCATTTTCTTCTTTTACCACAATCAAGTGAAAATGTTTTCCTTGATGTGGTAACTTTTCCTACGGGAACAGAAGAAAATCATACAGGGCTATGTCAGTTTATTACAATTGATTGTTGGAGTTGGATCGAAATGCCGAGCTGGAAAGCAGACACATAAAAGGATGACGAAACACTACACCATGAAGTGGGATGGAAAGAGTGATTTGCAACGAATAATTTGTTGTTGTTGTACCCCGCGGAAATCGTAATTGTTGAATGGTGGGTGGGTCTTAATTCAAACTATCCTGGGTCAAGACGAAAATCCTAGACATTACAGTGACTCGTCGCCATTGTATTGTTTTGTTAACAGTACTTAGTTGTTGTTATTTTAGTTCGCTGAGATCTGCTTGTGAAATCCCTTTGGGAGGTGTCGAACGGTACTTGGTCGTGAATAGTGACGAGTGGCTCCGTGACGTAAACCCTGCCGTTATTGGAACCAACAGTACTTGCTTGATCCCATTAGTTAAATTTTTATTTAAAATGTTTGCACAACATTCGTTTTGTGCCATTGCAGAACACTCAAGAGTATAATTGTCACGCTCAAATTTTATATGGCAGTACAGTGCTACCAACTCAAGAGAAAAATGTGGTGTTATCATTTAAGTGGGCTTTTTAAATTATAAATTCCGGATACTTTTTAAATAGAATATATGTATAATTAGTTAATGTATTTGTTTTGTGTTTTGATAACTGCAGAGCTGTTCAAAAAGTCATTTAGCTCGTTTGTTTTATTATATAAAAATAATTAGTATCTTAAATATATATAGAGCTTTCAAGATATATTAATTAATTCTTATTTTTATAAACTGTACCATTATTGAAATATTAAATGATTTTTTGAATAACTCAATCTTTACCAATTATATTTTTAATAATGTCTATATAACCTTGTGTTGTTGTTATTTTGTTTAAACTTTAATTAGCTGGCTTAGGAATAAAAAATAAACCAACTGGTAAGTTAAAATCCCTTTTGTTGTTTTATGTGTTATATCGTGTAGTTTGCCGTAGTAAAACAGCACGTTTATTGTACCTAATTGGCAGAATGACTCCCCTACCTGTTAATTATGTATCTGATTTCCAAAATCAGTTCCTTAAAATTTTTTTGCACTCTGTAAATTTGGTTTTTTACGTGGTTTTTAATTTATTTTTATTTAGTCAAATGTATTTCAATTTGTGTTTTAATAAAGATTACACGAAGACAAATTAATTTCCATCAATTTAATTACCATCAATAATTTCCATTTACTTGCACTACAAAAACACAAAAATATTTCAAAATACGAGTACCTCAAGTTTTTATATTATAATGGTAGTTAGCTTGAGAAAACAACTAACTAGTATGGTATATTAGTATTATGTCTACTACTCTCAATATGTATTTCAAACATTACTCATATATCACAAATATATCAAATGTAAATATGAGGCGTTTAAGGTTTTGTATAACAATTTAAAAGTCTGTGATATTTATCATAGTGAGGTATAATTGGTTTGGGAAATTTCCTATATTGAAAAATTTCCTAAATTGGGAAATTTCATAGAAAAGGTTTATTTCGTAAAATAAAAATGTATAAAAAAAAACTATTAATTGTAAGAGTTAGTTACTTAAAACTTAACACTTTCATTATCATCCATGGCGCTTAGGTATCCGTGCAGGATAGGATTTTTACAAAATATTGTGGCCGCATCTACTCAGAGCACATAGTAGTATTCTAAAACCTATACAGCTCTTTGCTTTGTTAGGAATATTATATTTCAGGATTTTTCTCCATGACTAATATCTCATGCTTTCATGTCTCTTTAGCTGTAAGTTAAAACCCTAAATTAATATAACGGCACTGAGCCACTGTTTGATACTTTTGTATCTTCAGAATGCGTACTTAGATATTACGCATTAAAATATGTTTATATAAACAATCTGAATCTGGGTCAATGCCCACATTTCATTTGACACCAATGCTGCAAAGGAAAACAAAATTGTTTTCTTTAAAACTGTAACACTTTTGAGATATTTGATTGATGGATATAAACATCATCTTCCGGCTACTGACGCCGAAGCTAAAGACGCTGACGAGGTGCTTTAGCAAATAGAAGCTCCAATTCTATTGGTTGGAGGAAAAGACGCTTCTAGAAAATTCTCAGGAATTTTAGAAGCTGTGTTCTAATTGGATAAAACCCAATTTCGTAATCAAAACAATAACTTCAGTTATTGAAGAATAAAACCTCAAGAGTCAGTCTAGAGTGAGCTAGCCAAAAGTCTAGTTCAAGCATTCGAGAATTCACCATTTAAACCTTACCTATTCGGAAAAATATAACTTGTAATATATATATATATCATTAATATAATAAATAAAAATATTTTTTTTAAAAATTAAAACTCGTGACGAATAAATTTAATTGGCGCCCAACAACGTGGGGCACTCGTAACAATTGCGGAAAAATAAAAAGTACGCGACGCGAGTGTCAACCGCAGTAAACTCGTCACAATTGCAGAACATAAAAAGTATGCAACGCGAGTGTCACAGTAAACTCACGCTAAACGCAAACAAAAGTATGCGACGCGAGTTTTAATCACAGTGAACGCACTCGTAACTATTGCAAAAAATAAAAAGTATGCGACGCGAGTGTCAACCACAGTGAACTCACGCTAATGTGGAAAATTTATTAAAAACATAGTACGCGACGTGAGTGAAAAAAATTAAAAATTCCTGCAATACATAACACCCGAGAACAAAGGTGTTTGCAGCGAATTTTAACAAACAAGTATCCCAAAAAAAGGGGAGGAAAGTGACATAAAAATGAAATATCTCAAATAATAAAAAACGAGATTTCGTGAGTGCACAAAAATTTTTATATGTGCAAAATTTTTTAAATTATTAACATTAAAAGGATAAATAAAATTATCCATAAAGTTAATATAGAAGTTTAGAGACAATCTTCATAAAAACATTAAATAACAATTGTGCTACACTAAAACAAATGTGTAAAAGCATTTACACAAAGCTGTTGATTTTTATAAACAAGGTTTCTGCTAAGCCTTTGGAGCATCAACTACAGAAACAATTAAAATAACTTTTCTACAATTGGTACTGAGAGGATAAACACAAAACAAATTACTGGAGGTATTTTAACAGCAGCCAGGAGGTATTTCTTTACTGATGCTATTTATTAAAAATCAATGTATATAAATATATATTTATTAATGCATTAAAAATATACAAATATATGAAAATATTTAATAAATTTATATATGTGTAACTATTAAATAAAAATATTAATGAATACTTGTATAAAAATACATAATTAAATAATTTTTACGTAAAATCCTTAATAATTTTCCTTTATATATATATAAAAAAAGCTCTGCAAAAATTTTTGTTTTGCCTTGTTTTTCGTTATTCGTTTTGGATATTTGATATAAAAGAGTCCTTAAAACTGGACGAACTTCTTTCAAAATTTAAGAAATTTCGCGTGTCCAAAATGACCGAAAACACTGACATAATTACGAGACTGATTGCTGCTAACACAGTTAGCCTTCAGGCAGAAATTAATACTTTAAAAACTCAATTACTAGCCTTGACGAATACAAACGTAGTTACTGAATACGAAACGCAGACAATTGATGATAACATAAAATGCGATGAATCTTTAGGTATAATCAAATCCTTACCCGAATTTTCTGGTAAAAATAATCTGTATGTAAGTTGGCGCGAGGCCGCCAATAATTCTATTCACCTTTACACTAAAGGAAGTAAGAGATACTTCGCAGCTCTTACGATTCTTCGTAATAAAATTATTCAGGATGCCAATGACGTTTTGACAAGCCATGGCACAGTTCTCAATTTTGACGCTATTATTAGTCGTCTAGATTTCGCTTATGCAGACAAGCGACCATTACATATTCTTGAACAAGAATTGAGTGTACTACGACAAGGAAGTCGTTCAATTATAGATTATTACAATTTAGTGAATCAAAAATTGACACTCTTAATAAACAAAACCATCATGACGCATGGTACAAACAATAATATAACTAAAATTATAAATGATCAAAATCGTCAAAACGCTCTTCGAGTGTTTATCACGGGGCTGAATGCTCCATTATCTAATATCCTGTTCTCACTCTCTCCAGAGGACCTACCTAATGCCTTGGCAAAAGCCCAAGAATTAGATTCAAATAATATGAGAGCAAACTTCGCTCTGCAATTCAGCAGAAATAATGCTCATGATTACCTTAATAATAATAGGAATAATTTACGATTTCCTATCAATAATAATTTTAATAACAATAGATTCTTTAATCAAAAAAGAACATTTAATAAACCTGAACCAATGGAAGTCGATGACTCCAATCAATTTAAGCAAAATGCTTATAATCAAAATAAAAAATATAATCAAAATCAAAGAGGTTTTTCACAAAATAATAATTTTAATAGAAATTATAATAATCGAAATAAAAATGTTCAAGGTGGACAATTTTATAATCCACGAAACAATTTTATAAAAAGAGAAATGGACAGTAAAGTAAACAGTGGACAGCCTCCAGTTAAACATCAGAGGGTTAACAACATAAACGAGCGTGCTTTTTTAGACAAAGCCACGACCTCCCATATGTCTTCGCGACCACAACAAAGTCCAACAGAAGATTAAAAATTCTAATTGATACAGGCGCAACAAGTTGTTATTGTTCGCCAAACATATTTAAAGTTAGAGAAAGATTAGTTATAAAAAAAAGAATTAGGACCATTAATGACCACACAATAATAACCCATTTTTCTGAATTTGCTATATTTAATATAAAAGAAAGATTTTATGAAATAAATGGACTTGATGCAGACTTATTAATAGGCTATAACTTTCTAAAAAAGGCCAATATTACCTTAAATTTCGAGAAAGAAATTTTAATATATAAAAATGAGGGATATAAAATAAATCCCTGCGAAGAAAATATTAATAATAAACATATTACCTTGGGAAATAATCCTAAGGCGCCAGCCGAAGAATTTTCCGGCACTATCGAAAAAAATAATAATATTAAAAATAAACATATTACCTTGGGAAATAATCCTAAGGCGCCAGCCGAAGAAATTTCCGGCACTATTGAAAAAAATAATAATATTAAAAATGAATATATTACCTTGGGAAAAAATCCTAAGGCGCCAGCCGAAGAATTTACCGGCAATATTTCTGATAAGAAATATAAATCAATAAATACCCTAAGTGGAGAAATAATAAATCAAATAAAAAGAATACACAATAATATAAATTTAAATATTCCTTTTAGAACGGATGTAAAAGCGGAAATCCGCACAATTGTTGAAACTCCTATATGGAGTAAACAATATCCATATCCACTATCTGTGAATGACTTTATAAATGTTGAAATTAAAAATATGCTAAAAGACGGTATAATTCGTCAAAGTAAGAGTCCATACAACTCACCTGTTTGGGTTGTACCAAAAAAAGGTATAGAAAGAAATGGAACACCAAAACTAAGAATGGTGATTGACTTCAAGAAGTTAAATGAACAAACAATTTCAGATAGGTATCCAATACCTGATACTAACGTTATTCTTTCCAATTTAGGAAAAGCATCATATTTTTCTACAATAGACTTGGAATCGGGATTCCATCAAATTTTAATGAAAGAAGAAGACATTGAGAAAACAGCTTTCTCAATAAATAATGGTAAATACGAATATTTAAGACTACCATTTGGGTTAAAAAATGCTCCTAGCATTTTTCAAAGAGCAATGGATGATATATTACGAGAATATATCGGAAAAATTTGTCATGTCTATATAGACGACATTATAGTATATTCAAATTCTTTAGAGGATCATGAGATTCATTTACAAAAAATAATAAAAACCCTAAAAGATGCCAATATGAAAATTTCACTTGAAAAATCTAAATTTTATCAACAAGAAGTTGAATTCTTAGGATATATAGT